TCTCCGGGTTTGGGAAATAGTTTTAAAACTTAATATGTGATGGACTGGGCTTGAAAAATATTCCTCAAGATTAATATTTGCTTGCACCTGACTTGAGAATATTTTATACAAATTATTATGGGCCGGGCTAGGAAAAAATTTTCAAAATTATTATGGGTTGAGCTAGATTTGAGAATTTTTTTTATAAATTATAAGGTCTTGAACGCGTGGAAATTTTTTTCAAATATTATGAGCTTGGACCTGGCTTGAAATTTTTTAATGTTAAATGTTAGTCTTATGTAACCAGTAATATATTTACAAAGAATTTTGGTATTGGGTACAAGCTCATTTAAATATATTTTGACTCAAATAATAGTTTCCACTCTTAGTCCTAATGGGTTGACTCAATGACATTGCTTGGACTTGACCTAAATGGGGAGGGGGGGGATTTAAAAATTATATAAATTGGATATGATTTTTAAATAAAAGGTAACATCTTTCTTAAAAAAACGAATAAAATTCTCATTCTCCGTCATTTTTGACGGGCTATCTACTAGTTGCTATAAATAGCCCAGAAAGAATAAATTATGTTTTCTACATTTGCAGCATCCGTAATTTCTGTTGAACCAGTCCCACGGAAAGGTAGCTCCTTTATGTTAAGAAATATCATGAAATCTTGATGTAAGATCGTAAAGATTACGGTTAATTTGTTGGCTTACCAAAACTGTTGTTCAGTATTTTCTTCATAATGCTAAAATATTTACCGCTGTTTTAAATAACTGGTTATATCGGGCTTAGATAATATTATTTTGTCTAAGATTTTAATACGACCATTTTTAAAAATCGGCTCAAATCATGCTATTTAGCAACACTGCACAATAATTACCAAATTTTATAAAAATTTAATAAGAACCTTTTTTATTTTAATAAATATTTACGGATCGGTATTAATCTGTTTCCTTAGATTTGATATATACATCAAGCATAGGCGTAGCCAGAATTTTCCTAAAGGGGGGAAGGAATTAAAAAATTTCTGGGGACTTTGCCCCACCCCATTTGGGCGGGCCTTCTGCGGGTTACCTTAGTCTATATATAGTCATAAAATATTTTTAAAAGAGAGGAGGGTATTTTTAATAAAAAAGCGAATAATGGAATATATTTATATTAGTTTATATAAAATATAATAAATTAGTTGTATATACATTAATATAAAAGCATGGTAATAATTATTCCAAACAAGTATAAGAAATTTATTTATAAAAAGTAAGTAGACGTATTGATATTCCTCTATTATATAGAATTGGTTACAAAATATTAGGTAAAATTCCACTTTTACAGACATATTTGACTGTTAGAAAATATATTACAGTTAATATTTGTTAAATACAAGTAACAATGTTTATTAATGGATTTTGTATTGTAGAAAACTTAAGGCTTAAAACGATATATTATATTATATTATATTTAACATTAAATTGATGTTTTGAAAAGTTATACAATGATTTTTATTTAATATTAAATTGATGTTATATTTGTATATATACTTAAATGATCATGATTACTTTCACCTTTTGTTTTTATTTGATCTTAGTTGAAAATAAAGAACTTAATTATTAATATTCCTAATCTTCACGGATTCCACATTCTACAATTGATGATATATTCTTAACCTTCAATCTTCCGTAGTTATTCAATACAATCGTCCTCAATTCTTTCTATCAATGCTCTTGATAATAAATATAGCAACAATATGCATTAAATTATTTAACTACATCTATTTATTTTAAATAAAAAATGATATTAAAAAATAATCTTCATATTATTCATCCCACAATGTCTTTAAAAGTTATTTTCTGATGTCCTTATCAGTATTTTATAGTTTTCAGTAATATATATAATTCGCTATATCGGTAAAAATTATTTAATTATTATATGATAATTGATAAAATTAGATATACTGTAAATCTACGACATATAATATTCCACTGTTTGTATTGTGCTTTAATTTTTTTATTTAATTTATGATTTAATTTTATCAATAGTTTTATAATTATATTTTACTTTTATTAAAATAAATAAATTAAAATTACTCACTTTATAAAAAATTATATTTGATATATTATATTTGATATATTATATTTGATATATTATATTTGATATATTATATTTGATATATTATATTTGATATATTATATATTGATATATTATATTTGATATATTATATTTGATATATTATATTTGATATATTATATTTGATATATTATATTTGATATATTATATTTGATATATTATATTTGATATATTATATTTGATATATTATATTTGATATATTATATTTGATATATTGATATATTATATTTGATATATTATATTATATTTGATATATTATATTTGATATATTATATTTGATATATTATATTTGATATATTATATTTGATACATTATATTTGATATATTATATTTGATATATTATATTTGATATATTATATTTGATATATTATATTTGATATATTATATTTGATATATTATATTTGATATATTATATTTGATATATTATATTTGATATATTATATTTGATATATTATATTTGATATATTATATTTGATATATTATATTTGATATATTATATTTGATATATTATATTTGATATATTATATTTGATATATTATATTTGATATATTATATTTGATATATTATATTTGATATATTATATTTGATATATTATATTTGATATATTATATTTGATATATTATATTTGATATATTATATTTGATATATTATATTTGATATATTATATTTGATATATTATATTTGATATATTATATTTGATATATTATATTTGATATATTATATTTGATATATTATATTTGATATATTATATTTGATATATTATATTTGATATATTATATTTGATATATTATATTTGATATATTATATTTGATATATTATATTTGATATATTATATTTGATATATTATATTTGATATATTATATTTGATATATTATATTTGATATATTATATTTGATATATTATATTTGATATATTATATTTGATATATTATATTTGATATATTATATTTGATATATTATATTTGATATATTATATTTGATATATTATATTTGATATATTATATTTGATATATTATATTTGATATATTATATTTGATATATTATATTTGATATATTATATTTGATATATTATATTTGATATATTATATTTGATATATTATATTTGATATATTATATTTGATATATTATATTATAGATATATTATATTTGATATATTATATTTGATATATTATATTTGATATATTATATTTGATATATTATATTTGATATATTATATTTGATATATTATATTTGATATATTATATTTGTATATATTATTTAATTTGATATATTATATTTGATATATTATATTTGATATATTATATTTGATATATTATATTTGATATATTATATTTGATATATTATATTTGATATATTATATTTGATATATTATATTTGATATATTATATTTGATATATTATATTTGATATATTATATTTGATATATTATATTTGATATATTATATTTGATATATTATATTTGATATATTATATTTGATATATTATATTTGATATATTATTGATATATTATATTTGATATATTATATTTGATATATTATATTTGATATATTATATTTGATATATTATATTTGATATATTATATTTGTTATATTATATTTGATATATTATATTTGATATATTATATTTGATATATTATATTTGATATATTATATTTGATATATTATATTTGATATATTATATTTGATATATTATATTTGATATATTATATTTTATATTTGATATATTATATTTGATATATTATATTTGATATATTATATTTGTATATTATATTTGATATATTATATTTGATATATTATATTTGATATATTATATTTGATATATTATATTTGATATATTATATTTGATATATTATATTTGATATATTATATTTGATATATTATATTTGATATATTATATTTGATATATTATATTTGATATATTATATTTGATATATTATATTTGATATATTATATAATAATTTTATGGATCTATTATTAATAATTATATAAATTTATCTTTGGCTTATATTCCATATTCTTAAAAAACATTTGGTTCACTTTTTTTCATATATAAATGCCTTTTCCCAAAAATGCATAAATTATGATGAATAGTTTTATAAAAAAAATATTAACTTTTACATTCTTTCTTTCAAATTGTTTAAGATATATGCATCTATTTTTGGGGGTCAGAGAGTGGGGGGAGGACTTAGAGAGATATTTTTTATTAGCTTATAATGATATTCACAATAGGTGATAAATTTCTGAAGGGGGAGATTTCAATTTGCCCCCCCCCCTGGCTACGCTTATGACATCAAGCCTCGAGTAACCATTTGATTAGCTTCAGAAAATCGCGGTTTTTTATTATTTGCACCCAGATCTATATCAGAGACCTTCAAAAGATAATAATATTGTGATTGAACCATAATAAATAAAATAATTATCATTGAAATAAGTACAATTTAAAAGTTATAATTAAGTGCCTATATAATGTTATACACAAACTAATCATAATATCATTGACACAAACATACATGAAAATGATAAAATATGAATGAATGATAATTTATTATTGGATAAAAATGGATAGGAAGAAATTTACAAACAAGACATGTTTTTTGAATAAATATTTAAAATTTATTTTTAAAATTTTCTGGGAGCCAGGTTTGGGGGCAAAAATTTTTTTGCCCCCCCCCCCCCCCCCCACCTCCATGGCTAGATCTTGTGAATTAATGAAGTCCCTCAAAATTTTTAGTTGAGCCACCTGAGATTGTTAAGGTCAGTGTCGCCGAGGAGGGGGAATTATCGGATATTGGCATTTGTTATTATTAGGATTTTAATTGATAGGTATTTAATTGTACATAAAATTTAGGGCATTTGTCGTGATAGAATACTCAAATTATTTCGAAACACGCATTTTTAAACACGTGTTTTTATTTTAAAAAAAAATTAAAAAGGAACTTCTAAAATTTAAAAGATGAAAAGTTCAATAATTCTAAGTAACAAACAACTATATTTTATTATTTAGTATATAATTTTTTATTAGCGTTCACATTTGGGCTTATCTATCAAATTTCATGTTTGTATGACTCTAATGATGACGTGATAGAATTAAATAATGGTAATTTTAACAACAAAATTATAGGCTGTGATGGAGTATGTTTCGTTGAATTTTATGCACCATGGTAAGCATTCACATAATTACCCCGTTTTTTTGTTAATTTATTTACTTGACATTGTCTTAATTATAATTTTTAATAGTTAATTATTGTACTTAATGTCTTGTTATATGCATTAATTACAAATTAAACTAGTTTTTTTTTCAACTAGTTACTTGATTTTTAAGGAATTTTTTGTTATTTTTTTCAAAATTGTAAATTGCACTACATGCACATGCAACTATAATTTAAAATGTAAAACTAATTTTTATAAAATTTGAATATAACTATAAATATCCACAGATATCAATAATACATTTAATAATCCAAATTTATTTTAAATGATATATCTTAAATTAAAAAAATTTTGAATCTAAATATTATCACAACTTAAGGCTATGACTTAACTGAAGAAGTGTAAGCACTTACATAATAAATAGCATGCTAAAGCATAACCTAAAACTATTATATGTAACACTTTAGTGGTATATTATAGCATAGAAAGCAGGGATGTGAACCCTTCAACAAAATAAAAGGGTCCGGGTTCGGGTACAGGAATAAAACTTAAAAAGGACCCATGTCCAGGGTACATAAAAATAATTAATAAAAATATAATTTTTTTCATTCATTTATTATTATACTTCAATATATACACATTTATAATTTACAAATGAAATAATTTATATTTTAAATGTTTTATTCAATTACACAATCATAATATCTTATAAAATATCATCCTTGAGATCTCCACATTAATTAGATATGACATTATATATTTCAAAGATAAAAATCCACATTCTAACTTACCTAAAATTGATAATTATCTTTATAATACATAAATTATGTATTCTCTTAACTTCTGACAATTAAAGATGCAATAGGCATTTTATGATTCTGCTTTCTATCTGATGATATTTGTTTTTTTTTCTCTATCTAAAAGTAAAATTTCAAGATCATCAATGTTTATTATTATCACTACAACCAGTAGGTATTGTATTAGACTCTAATATATTGTAAATAATGGAGTTTTGTGTATGCCACAAATCCTCAAGATGGTCTTTAACCATTTGTTTTTGCTCAATATACAATAAAACTTAATATCGAGGGTCTAAATATAAATATATAGAAGCGTACGTACACAACACTATTTTGCAAATATTATTGCTCTCTAATTTTCATGTTTTCTAATATTTCGTATAAAGAGGACTGTAAATTTTTCTAAATCTAATCAGCATCTTGCCATAAAAATTCTGATTGTAATCTTAATATTGTTATTTTTAAAAGAACAAATACACTAGTAAGGTCCTTTATTTAGTTCCAATCATCTTCCGACAAAATGACTTCACATGCTCCTTTATTAAATCATTACAGAAATCTTTCAAACTTAAAAATCGTTCTAGCATCATACAAATTGAGAACCAAGGTGTTGTGCATTATTATTTAAATAAAAATATTATTATTTAACTACAAAATAATTCACTTTCAAAATAATCAACGATTATCAAAATTTAGAGAAGGGATATGGTTTATGGTTAATTAATTTGATAGTGATAGGCTGAGTTAGAGTTAATATATTTAAAAATGATTCTTAATAAATCATTTTTATAAATAATGTTACCTAAACCTCGAAATTTCATTAATAGATATCCAATTTTTTTGTCTATGAGCAAAATCATTAGGGTTACCAATATTTTTTTGCTAAAATATTGAGCTAGTAGTTTTTAAAAATATGTTTTTTTATTGAATTTTTTAAATAAAAATAAAAAAATTCTATACAAATAAATTTTTTGACTACCTTTACAAATAAACATGTTATTTATAATTAAATCTTCAAAATTTATAATTTTAATTAATTTGATGTTATCGATATAAGTATTAGAAATATCAAAGCTAAAATGCTAATTTGAGTGAAATATATCAGTTTCAAATGTGGTCTGCTATACTTGGCACCTTACTATATGGGTAAGGGCTATTTTTAATTTTAGTTTCCACGGGTAACTAAAAGAAAAATTTTTTTAAATGTAATTATTTAAGTAACATAAAACAAATTGTTAATTAATGGAATAGAAATAGATAATTTATTAGTTTCAATGTCAATCACAAGAAATTTTACTGTCTTTGTGGCTTATTATTTATAAACTAACCTGGGGATATTAAAAATTTAATTCTAAAAATAGACGAATTTTTTTATCCACATAATTAAGTCTGATGTTTCATAAAATTTTACAGACATCTTGAGCTCAATGGTTCCTCCCATAAGCACAGGTTTTTTTTGACAACGTACACTCCTAGAATCATATGCATAAATTTAATAAAGATAGATATGAGCATCAAATAGAAGCTAAAAATGCTGATCTTCTTCAGCAGATTTTGAGAATATGCAAGCAATATATTTTTTTAAATAGATTTTTGTATTCCAATAATCAGAGACCTTCCCAATGTCTAAATTTTATACCATCTTTTGATTTTTTTTTCATTTTACCCAGCCTTGAATTGACTTGGATTTTTATTTTTGATAATTTTTTGGCCAGACCCGGAATTCTAAAAATATTGTTATATTTTTAATAATTTGGCTTGTATTTCACTACCTGTTTTTAAAGGGAAATATAGCGAACTAATTTGTAATAACTCGCTGGAGGAAAATCAAGGGTGTCCAAAGTTTTAAGTAGGGGTGTACCGATACCACTTTTTGGATTCCGATCCGATATTCCCGATATTAAATTGATATCGGTCAATTACCGATCCGATATCAGATCTAATTTTGTATTCTTTATAGATACCAATGGTTTTAATTTTTAATATACTTTTTATTAGTGTAACATCTATAATTTAACTATACCATAACTTATGTCATTAAAATATATTATAATGATCAGTTATTATATTCGATTCGATTGCAATTCTAAAAGTATATATAATATTTTTATTGTATAATCACTTTTATATAATAAGTAATAAACAAATATATTATTAAATTTGAAATAAATATTTAAAATAATATTTAACATTAATATATCGAAGATTTCTTTTTAGAAATACCAAAATTTCCAATATCAGAGGTCAGCTAACAGCTATGGTGACTGTCAATATCACCAGCTTCATTAAAAACATATTCTGAAGAGATTATCGCACACTTTATAAACAGAATGCGCAAAAAAAACAATATGACAGAATGTTTATTAATTAATTATTATTATTTAAAAAAATATACATAAAAATGGATTTTGATTTTATTTATAAAAATAAATGATTTTAGATATAACCTTTTTAAAAATTTTATAACATTTTATTTTTGTTAAAGACGCCATTTTATATCGGATCGGAAAATTTTTTAATAGGCCGATGGTCGATATTTTAAAATGGGTGAAATATCGGCCCAATCCGATCCGATAAAAAATATCGGTACATCCCTAGTTTTAAGTGTTGAGGAGAATAAAAAAGAGCTAATATATAAGGGGATTTATTAAAAAATATAATTCAAAGATTGTTTTGAATCCTTAAAACTGAAAATAATTTTTTTTTATCAAAAGTTCGTTTCAACCCTACCACAATAATTTTCTGCAATTTACATTAAAAATTGTTTTGTTTCATTTTTTGTGAATTGGTTTAGTCAAACTTAAAAACATTATTGAAAATAAATATTTCGGGCCAGTTTAAGGGGCCTGGAATATCTTCAAATAAAATTCATAACTGAATTAAATTCCTTGCCCTATAATCTTAAAATACATATTAATTTCAAATAATATATAAAATAGAAAAATGCATAACTTAACCTACATTATTCACCTATATGTACCTTATTGTAATTTAATATTTTTATCTTCAAAATTTATAATTTATGTATATTTTATTAAAATTTTTATCAAAACATTAATATTATATTGAAATTACAAACTAGGCTTATGATTAAACAAGGCTAAGTTTGCTTAAAATTAGGAAGTGGTGTCCAGGTACAGGGAATAGAATAATACCGAATTCTATATCTATAATACCTTACATGTATTATTCTATTATTCTAAAGCATCTTTCATATTTAACTCAAACTGCGCAAAGACTAGGAGAAGTCAAAACTTTATGTCCAGCGTGAAGTTGAAAAAAAAAATTCGTTTCTTAAGCAGAATTTTGTTATTTTGAATAATTTTGGCTCTATTTTGCAAATTCTTTCAAAGAGAATAAATTGAAAATATGACCGATAATGAATATTAAGCTTTCAATTGATATAATTTAAAAATCTGTTGAAATCTAATTTATTATTTTGGAACCTCAGGTGTTTAAATTTTTTTTTTAAATTAAAGCAGCCATCCGTTAAAATGACTACATGGGTAAATAAGCGGTTTCACTTTTTTAAAAAAATTTTTTATATTTTTTATTAATAGTAATATTAAGCTTCATTCATTGAGACACATCTATTTTGGGCGGATAATTTTTTTTACTCTTGTGCAGAAAAGAAATTACTCCTGATAATTTCTTTAGCCGGGAATTAAATCTAGCATATTTCTGGCCCCCAAAGATATTTTCAATTACTACAATAAATTGACCTAAAGACCTTCAATGAAATTTATGGGGGCTATTTTTTTTAAACTATGCCTATCCTGCATGCACAGTCAACGCAAATTCACGGTGTTATCGCAAACTCGCGCTAACTGGGAATGCAGGATTACACTCTTTACTCAAACAAATCTTAACACCTTTATATATTTAAACGTGATAGGTGCGGACATTGTCAAAGTTTGGCGCCGGATTACAAGAAATTTGCATCCGCTTTTAAAGTAAATGTTATATATAGTGTAGATATGCTATCTATCAGATTTGAAATATAGTATATGATATCCAACGTTATAAAACCATAAATATTAACGAGTAAAGAAATTATTAAAAAAATGGAGCAATCATCTAAAATAATATTATTTTTCAGTTACAAAATAAGAATTTTGCTTTTTAGTGTATTCTTTAGAGATATGACTTATATTTTATTATCAATCATATATCTCTTTAACCCCAAATTTAGGGAATCATTCAAGTAGGAGCCTTGGATTCGGACGTCGAAAATAACAAAGACCTTGCCAGTCAATACAATATACGCGGCTTTCCTACTATTAAAATATTTCGCAGCGATATTAAGGAACCCATTGATTATTCAGGTTTCGATTGCTCGTAAATAATTATTGAAAAGTACCATATATAATTTTTGGTCTAAACCAAATTTTAAAAAAAACAAAAACTGAGCAGCGGTTTCTAAAAAGTCTGTTATAAGCCCGGTTTAGTGAATTTGGGTTTTTAACAAACTTAAAAAAACATTTAGTGTTACCTGAATTTATTCTAGCATTATAGAGCACCTATACCCTATGAATTTTAGACAATATTTCCCAGAACTTGAACTAATCCTATTTTACTTTAATTTATACATGTACAGATTTTTCATTTAAATTTTCATGGCAGAATTATCTTAAATTCACATGCTAGTACTTTATTCATGCTAAAATACGATTTGAGCAGTACCAGGCCTTTCAATTAATAAAAATTGATAAAAACTTAGACCATTGAAGCATAAGAATTTTGGGGTTTCGGGATCTCTCAATTTTAATTTGAAAAATCTGATTTGACGGGTAATGGATTTGAGCATGAATAGAATATCCCTAATGTAATTTTCGGACACTTTTGCTTTAAACTTTCAAATTACTCTTATAAAATATTTTGTGTAAATCAAAAAATACTCAAGAGTTCATGGCGAATATCTGATATTTATAGGATAGATAACTACATGTGCTGGAATAAATTTATCAGTAAATCAGATTTTTAAAATTGTGTCCTCCCATGGATTCCATATCCCAATACGAATTATATGTCAGTTATTTAGTATATATAGTGTTGTTAATTGGCTCATTTGAGCCGATTTTTTAAACGGCTAACTCAATATTTTATCTAGAAAATTATTAACGCAATCCTGAAAATTTTGGCTAGATGCCACAAAGGTTTGTAAATCTATTAGCGAAATCTCAAAGCTTATACAATATTACCTGGCTAAAATATTGAGTTAGAGTTAGCCGTTTTTAAAAATCGGCTCAAATCGAACTATTTAACAACACTAAATCAGCCATCGGGACACCATAGTATTATTATATGAATGGAAGAACATAATTTTGCAATGTTCTACAAATTTTAAAATCTTGTAAAAAAGTAATGTCAATTAAATTATTTTCAGGTCCCAGAACTTCTCAAGGCTTGATTGATGAAAGCTTTAGGCAATTGAAAGATTTGGTCAACTCTAGGCTGGGAGGAAAAAGCAAGTCTAGATCTAAAAAGTCTGACGGAGCTGAATCAGATGAGACGGTATAATTTAATTTATATTAATAAAAAGCAAAAAATTATATTTTTTATTATCGATTTATGATTTTTTTTTGTTGAATTCTTTTTTTGTTTTTGTTTGAGGAGTAGAATATATCCAATTTTTTAAAAAAAATTTGTAGCCTTTGACTCCGAATTTTTGCCTAAAAATTTTAGATTCGTTTTACGAACTTTAAATATAATATATACATTTCTTTATATTTCGTAACTTTATTTTAATGATTATATCAAATATTTATTTAAAAATGCAATTTAAATATCACAAGTATTCAACAAAACATATATAAATTCATAATATATTGAGTTTTTTTAAAAATATACATATATCTATGTTACACAAAGATAATTTGACTTAGTTGCTAAAGAGTAAAATTGCGAATAAAATATAAGCTATCAATATAGCAAATAATATAAATAGCATAAGGCAAAAAAATGATAGCATAATATAAAATCTAAGAAATAATGCAAAGATGGTAAATAAAATGTATTGGATAAAGTGATTAGAATTTTTAAAAAGGTACTTATTTTTATATCTTAAAACAAAAAGTGTTTTCTTTTATATACCAAAATGAAAGTTATTTTATAACACTATTTTTTTATATATATTTTATTTTAAAATAAATTATTATTTCGTTATTTTGGAACAGGTTTACCTTAATCTTTACTTTTAATATTAAGTTAGACATTTCAATTTATCTATTTTATATATAATTATTTTTATAAATATTTATTTTAAACTATTTATATTTTAAATTAAATCCGATTTTTTTTAAAAACAATCATTAGACACTTTTATGAATGTACACATTTTATTGATTTATTAACATATAAAATCATCAAATCGATTAATTATTCGCGAATTTATTAATCTCGGCCATCCCTTTTTCTCACCATACCAGTAGCAATTTGGGCCGGGACTTTATTTTATGTCAAGGTTACCATTTAGGCATGTATAAGTTGTTTCATTTTTTCCATAAATTTTAATGCTTTAACGATTGTTCTTCGTTGCTATACTTTGAGTATTCATTTGAGCCGGGCAATTGATAGATAATACGTTTCTCTATATGCTGGGCATACGATTGACCCCACACTGCACTTGGGTTGTTCTTTAATCGGGTTGTTGTTTTGGTGCGTTGGGAAATTGCATTTGTTTTGTGTCTTAAGGAACATCATGCATGTGTTCGAAGACTTATTGTTAGATTCCAAACAGTTGGGAAGTAAAAGGTCGAATTGTTTGAAATTTGAAATTAACTTAAATGATTTTTTTATAGTTGTTATATAAACATTTTAGTTATAAATAAACAAATCTTCACAAATTTTTGATCTTTTGAGGCTCTTTTTTTTGAGATGGCTTAGAAACAAACTTTTTGATCAAATTTTACCTAAAATTTCTTTGTGATTTTTTATGAACCCAAATTTTTTCGGGAATGCATAAAATAAATACACAATAAATGAATTATATTGCAGACAAAATAATTATTGCAACATAATATTTAATAATAAAATAAAGCAATAAATAATTACCCATATATTTAAAAACAAATTATACATTATATATGCATCGTGCAAACATTTTTGGATTGGGGAGGGCCCTGACTTTGAATTGAACCCATTAGGTACTTTAATGGGTCATATCCCTAACTGAAAATAAACATTTTTTCGAATTTTCTTATTTACATAACATAGTATGAAACTCTTAATCCTAAAAACAATTACTATTTTGCTAATCATTTATATACTATGATAAACTTTTATTTTGTGTACCTCAAATTATTTACCCTCAGAACGTTGTAACCTTAACGGATGCCAATTTCGCGGACAAAATTTTCAACGATCAATCTGGCGATTTTTGGCTAGTAGAATTTTACGCCCCCTGGTGTGGTCATTGCAAGCAACTAGCTCCGGAGTGGGCCAGTGCCGCTAATACTCTCAAAGGCAAAGCAGTGAAGCTGGCGGCTCTCGATGCAACTCAGCATCCTCTTATTGCCGGAAAATATAAGGTTTTAAAGGATTTATTTTCGATACTTTACTCTTTAACCAAATCTCATAACTTTTGATTGGACATTTTTAAAAATTTTACAAAAATATTTTACCTTAAAAAAGATATTCAAATTTTTAATAAAAAGTTCAATCGAATTTTATTCTAAATCCTGGATAAATTTCTATTTTATAAACTGAGTGTTTGGAACAATCGGGTCGAATCCATATTTTCAGATTTTAATTGTTTTATTCATATCATGTAAATAACGTATTTTGCAAGATCTTGAGTCTTTGGGTTAAATATAGCACTTTTTATTTAATCATAAAGATAAATGATTTACCGTATTTTACAGGTTCAAGGTTATCCTACTATAAAAATGTTTGTCCCCACTAGACCAGGCGTCGAGGTAGAACCCCAGGATTACGATGGTGGTCGCCGTGCAGCGGATATCGTAACATGGGTCAATGATAAATTGGCGGATAATCAACCTGCGCCAGAAGTTAAACAGGTATATTGTATGCGCCATTTTTAAGAAATAGAGAATGCCGCAACAAATATATATTTTTGTATAGAAATTAGAACTTGAATTTTCTTTTTTATACTTAAAGAACACTATTTTTTATACTTATCCTATTAACAAGATAATACAAGGACTTCTTTTTCTTTAGCAATCCATATTAATAAAATTATTATAAATACTAATTGTATTTATGTCTATTGTGAAAGACTTCTCATGAAGCATTATTAAGAGAATTATGATAGGTTTACAACGTGATTTGTCTTTTACGAATGAGTATCTAAACACACATAACAAACTATTTCTTCAGATAATTAACGAAGAACTGCTGAAAGCTGCTTGTGATAAAAACAAACTGTGCATCATATCCTTCCTTCCAAACATCCTCGACTGTCAATCCCAGTGCCGTAATGCCTATATTGATACCCTCACCCAACTTGGGGGCGAATTCAAGAAGTCTATGCTCGGGTAATTATTTATAAGCAATAAATTTATTGTCATCTTAGGCAAGAGGGAAGAAAAAGCTAAATCTTACGTAAATAAAATAAAGTTAATGTTAGATGTTATTTTTATTAAATGAGACTATTACATAAATAATGATGATTTAATCAGCCTATGATGCTAAGGTTGTACCGAGAACGAGAGTTAAAGAGTTCATGATTATGTAGTATAATAGGCATAAGCATGATTTTTTTATAATGAGAACTTAAAATTTGGTCAATAATAAGTAATATTCTGTCCCGCAAAATTGTTTATGGGAATGCCTCTCATTTAATTATTTTATCAAGAAGTTTTTCGCAAATTCTAATAGATATTTATTTATAAATGCTGTAATGACTGCGTCCTAATATTGCACAATATTCAATATTTTTCTTTCTTTTTTAATAACCATTTTAAAAAAAACTTGAAATTTTTTACGAGTCAATTTTTTTTTGTTGACCTATGATTAATCTGAATATTTTCACTTGAATAAATTATAGATGGCTATGGACAGAAGCCGGACAACAACCCGAGATCGAAAGAGCTTTGGATATAGGAGGATTCGGATATCCAGTTATAAATTTTTTACAATTACACTTACAAACAGTATAATTTTTAACAATTTAACCCACTTGTAATAGGTCCTAAGCAACGTGATGGTTTAAACCACCGGTAAGATATCATAAATTATTAGATTCCTGGGAACTATGAGCTAGTTAATAATACTGTATATCGTAACTTAACTTAAACTTTTTTTAATGTGTTCTATTATATATTGAAATGATTCGATCAATTTCGGAAGTCAATTAAAAATAATATATATTTTTTTATAAGGCTATGGCGGCCGTCAATACCAAGAAGAAGATATATACCGTTCTAAGAGGGCCGTTTAGCGAAGCTGGAATCAGGGAATTTGTGAGGTTTTTTAAAGCAATTTATATTTATCGAAACTTTTCTAATTTTTGGCCTTTCAGTATAATATGTGTCATGCAATAAATTGCTTGATGGATATTAGTTCATGATTGATTACATCTCAAATTTGTGATAAAAGTAGTGAAGAATAAATAAAAAATAAGGGATTTTTTTTTTCGTGTTATGGACACCTTTTGACTGATCGTTTATACACTCTAAACTTCCGTACTAATACTTTAATGCTTGTATAAAAATTTTATACGTTTTTCATGTGAGTTTTGCTGTGTTGCTTAATATTATTTTTTTTTAAAAATATTAATAAACAATTAACTCATTTAAGCAATAACAAATTTTTATTATATATCTTGGGTACGTTTAAACTTAAGAAAAATAATCAAAGCATCATTATCTTTGGACAGTTAAGGGCCATAACTGCGTGAACTTATTGATTTTTTTTTGAGTTTTAACGTACCCTTAGTTTAATGTTTATTTTTTAAAAATATTTTAAATTACCAATGAAGGGATATCAATTATGGGAAAGCTGGAACGTCAGCTCCAGTTAGGGAAAAAGAATTTTCGGACATTAAGAAATTATCTCCTTGGGATGGACAAGACGGGAAGGTAATAATAATCAAATGATTGTTTTATAATATACATGATCTATTGATTTACACGCTTATTTTAGGATTATATTAGACTGGGCCTTTTAGCTTTATATTAAGCTATCAGGCCGTGTTTAACTCTCAGATTATTTTCTAAAAAGCCATCTGTTTAGCCCTCTATATAACTTACATTAAACAACCTAAAAAGAAAGATGCTATTATGATCTGTCTTTGTTTTATTTGTATTGAGAAAATATATAAATAACTTAATATTAATATAATGTACGCAAACATAAAACAAACCAGAATAGGTCATACCTCAAAGGCTGATTAGCTTAGGCTAAACAGAAATAAGTTTCAGAAATAATCTGAGCAACACGGCCTCAGAGACTTTTAGTTTTTATGTATGAATGATTGAAATAAATGCTCAAGATAGCCATTTTAAAAATAAAATTAAATTGGGGGAAAAATAATCTTTATACTTTTAATGATAATATTTTTTAAAAATTATAAATTTAATTTCACTCATCCTCTCCCCTATTTTGATTCCAACATAATAACTTATCAAGCTTACAATTCTCTTATCGTCGCAGGCCCAGTTCTGCATTTGACTTTTATAAAGACAATTTTATCATTCTTAAAATTAAATTTCCTTCTCTCCCTTCTTGCCCCTTCCCACTTCATTTGCTCAAGCTCATGTTAAAAACGAAATTAATGGGTAGTTTGGATTTCGGGACCATTCAATTCGAAAACCTTATTCGGCCTAGGCTTGGTCCCAATGTAATGGATATAAATTCCTTTTTACCCGGGGAAGAGGAAGAATATTTTGGGGGAACGGAAGGGGAGGAAGGAAATTTCGATGAGAGAGTTAACGAAAATGGCGAAGAACCGTCTGGAGGAAATGTCGATGCTGCCGAGAAGGCCGAAAATTTTAATTCCAGATCGCGGCGGATATTTTTAGACTTTTTGACAATTTAATTAAAAATCGAACACATTTTATATTATATTGGAATCGTTTAATCTCGTTTACAAAAAAATGCATTATAATACTTAATTAATTTAATGATTATATCAAATATTATCTAAGATTCATATGACATACTTTATTTAAAACCTAATCAACTGCTCAATAATGTTAATAGTGTATATTAAATATAATATATTTGTATATATTTACCTTGAATCTCAGCTAGTCTTCCAATATAAATTTTCATTTTAATGTTTTTGATATTCGTTATTTATAATAAATGTTTTTATGCTAGTTTTTTTTCTAGCAAATTTTTTTCTTTCTTCTATTAATTTATTTACCTTATATTTGAAGAACTCTCAATAAAGATTATACTAAATCATTTAGGAAAATCTTTTTTATAATACCAAATTAACATCAGTAACGAAAATGTTTTTAAAATATGATTTAATCATAAATAACGTTTTTAAAACTTCAATTTTGCAGATTTGATCAATATTTTAGCCAAAAAATTACTTAAATCTCGAGATTTCTCTACGAAAGGGCCAAACTTTTATGCTATTTTTTTGGGCCAGATCTTAAGCGTATTTTCATTTGGCTATAATATTGACAAACGTTTTTGGAAAATGGGCGAAATAGGTTTTTTATAACAGAAATGTTAGAGATAAAAATATTATGTACTATTGAATTAGATTCGAATGTACTTATAGACCATTTAGTAGTTTGTAAAAATTTTTTTAAAAAATATATTTAGCTGGAATTGGAAGAAGAAATTGATTTATCAGACGTGAAAATAGAGGGAGATGCCATCCTACCTAAAAAGACGGAGAAAGTGGAATTGTAAATGGCGACAAATAAAAGAGATAACAAGATTTGACAGAAAACTTTTTTATTAAATATTTATATCTAATTTTATTTGTATTTCATTGATGTATATTTAATTTTTTTTCCTCTACTTTTCTGTATCATAATAAAAATAAATTTTGATTTTTGTAATTTTTTTTTTTTCCAAAGCTCAATAGTATGATATGGATATGAAATATGTATAATGGATACTTTATAATAGAATGTATTGAATACTGAATACTCATGTGTATTTTTAGATTTCATGCGCGATTTAAAAATCCTATAACATTCAAATATTTTAAACACTTTAATAAAATTAGGTTCATTATGGATATTAATTTATTTATCAATATCCACCTGTCGGATCATATATAAGGATAAATTGATTTTGTAGATAAATTATGGTTGGGCAAATTTTTAAAAAAAAGTCGAAAATACACTCCAAAAAAGTATTTGAATATAAATACAAATACGTTTTGAGAAAAAATGTATTTTAAATATAAATACTTACAAAGTATTTTCAAAAAAAGTAATTAAATACAAATACTTTGACGATTACATTTAACAAGTCGATTTTTTTATGGCCATACTATCAATTTTTTTTAAACTTAAATAATAATTTGATTACTAACCATTTTCCAAAATTATCAAATATCTGCGTTATAAATAATTAATCTATTGTTGCAACAGTTGCATAACACATAAAATATATAATAATTTTATTATATAATTAATATCACCGTTTTAAGATGAATATAATAAATTGCTGCAGGATGTAATCGCTCCATTTATGATTTTGGTTTTATTTTTAATTGAGCAAATATTTTAACTATTGATGATATTTTAAAATTTTTCATTCAAAATTGTCAAATTAATTTGGGAGGATGTTGTTATCACAGAATTCATGCAAAATATCTATATAAGTATAATAGTTTAATATAAAAACTCCTTTTCTTCTATTAATATATCTTCCTCATCTTCAAAAATAATCGTATTTTTGCTTTCGGTAAAACTCATTTTAAAAATAAAATATAATTTTAAATGGAAGATGTTAATTTTTTCGCCAAATACTTAAATAATTAAATATGGATTTAAATTTTTTAATAAAAAAGTATTTGTATTCGTTTGAAAATTGTGTGTGAAATCGTATAAAATACTAAATACTTTCCTAAAATATTTATATTATTTTAAATTCATCGCTCTACTGCCTAACCCTGAGATAAATATAGTTTACGATTTACTAAAATATTCAAATACAAAATGGTATTTTATTTTAAATTCATCGCGTTACTGCCAAACCCTTAGATAAATATAGTTTACTAAGTTTATTTGTAGGTGTACAATTACAATATATAAAATAACTGAAAACCACAAATCCCACAAATCCTACAATGACCTACTCAAAGGTTCTTTTGTCTCTGAATTTGAGTGTTAAGTAAATTTTTGCAGTGGTTTGTAAATATCACACTATAATTATTGGCTATTTGTATAACCTATAACATACTACTAGATCATCATACTAAAGTTCATTTTTGAATAGGAGTTTATAATCACACACAAAGAATATTACTCTGAAAAGAAATGCTTAACATTTTATAGTAAAATTACCACATGGTAATTTTTTTAAAGAAAATTCAACGTGTTGAATAATGACCATAATCTTATAACTTTTAAAATGTATACAAGTAACGTTGAAATATAATTTTTTGTCAGAGGTAGCCAAAACGCCATACTTGCATCTTAATGTTGATTCGAATCACAAACGGGCCATTTTTTTACAGAAGCAAATTTTACACACCCCATCGGTAAAATTAAACTGAAAAACATACTGGATTATTAATTTTAGATACGAATAATTTATTAGGGTATTTATGGTTGATATTAATTTATGGACTTCTTTTGATTAAAAAAAATATTACTAAAAGCTTAAGTGGAAAAGTAAACATTTTTTGAATTCCTTTTACACAATACAAATTTATTAAAGAGTGGTCACATATAAGTAATCGTCATTTTCAAACGCTCCATATATTTATAAATTATACATTCATATTTTCGCCTGGAGTACTTTAATTTGACCTCAGTTATCCATTATCCTAATAATTTAAATTTCTAGCCCTTCCTTTCAAATGGGTTTTTATAATTTTTAACTTTTTTTCCTGACATTTAGTGATCCTACATTTCAGTTTCATTTTAACATAGTTATTACATTTTGTTTATGCAAATAGATTCTCTCCCCCCATTTTTAAAAAGCTACTCTCTTGTGTTTCAACTCAGTATATGGTTGGCTTTTATAGTTAATTTTTACTTATGCTAGTATACTCCATTCTCATTATCAGTCTTAGTAGAAATTTATATTACAAGTGATATTGTTAAAAAGCCCGATATGGATTAATTTTTAACAATGGCCCGATTAAGACTTTAGCCAAAATAATATTATGTAAGCCTCAAGATTTGGCAATAGAGATCCGAACCTTTCTGCCACTTATGGGAAAAATCTCCAGGCTTACATAAAAGTATTTTAGCTAAAAACGAGATCGGACCGTTTTTAAAAATCGGGCTTTTAACAACAAGCATGTCTCACCAAAAACTCTTAATTCAATATCTTTAGCAGTTCTTCGTTTATCAATGCATAAAAACCTTTTTATATTAAAATATCTAATTGTTCCCCCTAGTTATTATTTGCAAAGAGCGAACCGAGACATGGTCCAAGTTTAAAATGCCGAACAAAGAATGTACTGTCTGAACCAAAAAATCCCAAACTACTAAAGAGTTTTTATTATGTTCCCCAAAGCTCTTTTTACAAGATATGACTTTTTAATCTCTGCTATCGCCATTTAGATTTGTTAGTGTAAAGAGCAACCTTTTACCTTTATCATTTTTGAAACAGTAGTGCGTATTCTTTTCAGCTTTAGTATTTAGTAATTTTTATCTCATTTCTAACCATTATCCTACAAATATCTTTTCAAAGGCTTTTTTTTTATCTTAAATTTAATTTTAGCCATTTGCTTTTCATATCCAATGAGTGGTCACTTGGAAAAATTTAAACTATCTAAAAAAAATAAGAATAGCTTTAACTCGATTAAAATGTCAATTTGCTGCCTTAAGATCTCATCACTTTAATGAGTAATTAAATTTCTATCCTGCTTTTAAAAGAATGCTATATCTAACTCATGATACTTAAAATATTCAACAATATTTTAAACATCTTCATTCCCTAATTTTTATTTACGGATTAAACTGAGCACTAAAATGCTCACCTAATTTAATAGTTTATAGTCTTCGTCGCCTTTGATTTTCAAACATATCCCAACACCCCCTTACATTTTTTTAACTTTATTGGTCTATTCCTTAGCGAAAATGATAGACACACTATTCTTTTTTTTATCAGTATGCAACTGAAATCTATAGAAGTCGAAAAATTTTAACTAAAAAATCCATATCTTGAACACGGATATATCTCTTCTAACTCAAATAAAGGAAATGCTCCTTTCCATTTAATATATATATATATGTTGGTCTAACTCATATGTGATGTCAATGCTTGATTTATCCGGTTGTCTTAAATAGTAACTAGACTTTTATCGCCTATGCCAGAAAATAAACGCATCAACTAGGACGACCCTGTAGCTTATTTGGTTATTTTTTGCCCTTATTGTTTATGTAAATTTTAACTTATGGAAAAATTATTGTTCCAAATTAAACCACTCCCACTTTCCTAGAATTCTTATAATTTATTTTAGCTCTAGAGATTTCTTATCGAATTAACTTAGCATTTAACACGAAGATTCTTTTAAAAATAAAGATGCTATATACCCTGACAAATTTTAGGCAGCTACCATTAGAGAGATATATTTGATTATTAAAAATTTTAGCTCAGTAACATCTAAAATATTCGGAACGTTTATAAGCGATGGACAGGAAGGGGAAATCTTCTTTCAGATCAGAAATATTTGTCAATTTTTAATTTTAATATTTTTTTCTTTTTCAGAAATATAGTATAAAATATACATAGAAAACAAGGTTTATTTGAAAAAAAATCATCATCCTTCTAAAAAAATACATCATGGGTCTAAAAAAAGATGTAGTTTAAAGAATAAGAATATATATATATATATACTCCATTAGAGAAATATATTTTATCATTAATATTTAAATTTCAACAAAAAAAATTCGATATATCCTGATAAAATATTTTATATTAATAAATTAAATTTTAATATTTTCCTCAGAAAATATATTAACAGTATAATGTAAAGCATGCTTACACTATTTATTTTTTTAAAACTTATTTTGCATAATTTTTTACCTTAACTAACCGTGACCAACATCAGATTATTAAATAATAATGTAAAAAAATTTTTCCATAACCTCATAGAGGGAGTGTCAATTCAATATGCTAATTATCTCTCGTCATATCTTCATTTTATTGCCTAAGCTCTCCATCTCTTACGTAGAATCAACCATTATACTCGCCAACTTATATCTTGCCATAGTTTCCTTGATCAGATAAGCTCTCAATTCACTACTACATTGAGTTAGAGCCCCATATAAAAGAAATAAATTATTAAGGGAATTAGTATGATTTCAATTCTAATATAATTCTTTAAACCTTATAAACCTTATACCCTTAATATTACTTTTTCTATACATTCATTCAACTTATATAAATTTAAATAAAAAGATCTAAATTCAAAATAATTAAAACCAAAATCTTTAATATTAATTAAAAAAAGAGAGAAATTTTATCTTAATGTGTAATGGCTAAAAAAAAGTACAAATCTTAAACTATATATATTAAACATATGCTCTAAAATGCAAGCAAATTCTCTTTATACATTTAAAAAAATAAAAAAATATATATTAGGAAATTATATAATATAAGCAACTATATATTTTAAAATTTTATTATAGCTTACGGAAAGGTGATTAACCAGAAATCTTATAGCGGAAATTAACTTATATATCAATAATATTGAACCTAAAATATAAGAATCGTTTCAGAGAATATTCCTCTTATCAAATCGATTCCAGTAATATTTCTTTGTAATTGACATAGTCTGGTTGGCTCAATGAAGTCCCCCCCCCCTTTTTTTTAGAATTATAACCACACCTATTTTCCTTTGTCCATATTATATATCATGCGCAAAAAAAAGAAATTAAAGTGTAAAATTAATAAAAAGGTTAAACCTAGATAATTAATTAAATATTCAATTCATGATGCGATTAATTAAAGTTTACTAGAAAATACTTTCATAAAATTTCTGGACACACCTCTTTCTACCCCCTAGATTTATTAAATTTTACGAGGAAAAAGTAAAGTAAGCTGAGAGGTGTCTCTCTTTCCTATTGAAATAAAAAGAATGCTTATGTCTTAAAGAAGAAAAAAAATATCTAACGGAACTCTCATCGCCCAAGTCACATTATATTTCTTTTCTGAGGTTAAGTGAATGCAGTATTTTTTTGAAAATAAAGGTGAATATTTTAAATGATATAATTATTACATTTAGGAGCTATGAATCTCTATTTTTCTTTCCTTAAATTTAATTTAGGAATCGAATTATTAACCCGGGTCTTTCCTTTCCCCCTTAAACTTTTTCGGGTAGGTTCGGGGAAACAAAAAAAAACAATGTCACCAAAGAAGACAAACCTAAATAGGATGCCCTAGTTTAAAAGCTAAGTCAAATAAGATACAGTCATAGTAGTACTGTTTTTTTTTCTCCAAAATTTTAATTACGGCTCATTATTTGAAAAAACAAGGCAGTTAGTTACTCAAATACTTTTTATGTATTAGCTGCATTATATTTAATCCCTTCCCCCCTCATTGTTCACACGTATTATTTGGGGTGAAGTTTTAATTTTGCAAGCTGGACACCTGAACTTTATAATTTTTGGAAAATTATTTGTCTTAACGAGGGATGGGAGGAGGGGACAAGTGGATACAAAATTTATGAGCATTCGTAATCTCTTAATTTTAAATAATTTATTGATGGGCAATTTTTAAATTTGAAAAACCTAATGAAGAAGCTACTCAAAAAAACAATAACTTCGTTACATTTCGCGTCTGCAAAATATGAATGTCGTTACATTTCGCGTTATTTTTATTAAAAAGAGTAACGCCATTACTTTAGTTTTAAGTATTACATATCCGGTCAAAAAGATACTCCTAAAATGGCGCTCAATAAATGATTCAAAATCTAGAAATCCTTATTCCTCGTGGATACCATATCCGATCTAAAAATAAAAATAAACTAAACAATTTAACTTCGCCTCAAAAATGTATAGGTTTCATTAGATTTAAAATGTTAAAAGAGGGATTTAAAAAAATTCATGCTTATTTTTTTTTAAAACTTAACCAAAATATTTAAAAGATTTATTTTTTGCTCCAAAACAAATTGATTAAGACAGGTCAAGCATGTGTTTTAATTATAAACTCAAAAAATTAATTATTAAAAATTTAAAATAATTTTTTTATTTAAAACAAAATTTAAATAAAAAATATGCATTTTTAGTATACTTATTTATTACTTATTATATACACTGTTAATTATCGAAAAATAATATTTTTACTGTTATAGTTAGTAATCTTGTTTATATATATTTTTTTTAAATTAAAATTATCTAATAAAATAATTAAAAATAAGTTTAATTTAAAAAAATAAATAAATTTGTAAATTAAATTAATATAAGATCAACCCCTTATATAATTTATTTAATACATATTACTAAAATAATGTTTAAAAAAGTTATATATATATAATATATAATATTTAAATTTAAATAAATAAAAATAATATAATAAAATGTAAAATAGAAAATGTAAAAGGTCTTTAATCTCCATGCGTTCCCTCTATTCCTTCATACATCTTCCAATGAATCCTCATGACTCCTGCTGCATTCAATTTTATATTTCCTTCTTTTTCCTATTACAAATATTTTTTATATAGTAAAATTTAAAACCAAATTTTATATTTATTCTACCAAATTGTATTAATAATATTTTCTTTATTCTTTGTGAAAAATATTTATATATACTACAGAAAAAATTATTGCTTATTATGTTTTATATTGAGCTATGCGCGATTTAAAGGGATAAGATTTACTAATTTTTATTAAAATTGCATTATATTGCTTTTAAAATATACCTTCGGAATTTGGATCATCTTTTCTCTGTTTACAATATGAATAATTTAGTCATATATTTAATCCCCCTTCCCCTTCCACCCACTCCTATATCGAAACTTTCTGGGTAACTATTAATATCTTTGAATTTAAACTATTATAACTTAAGGATTAAAGATATCAGATATAAATAAATTAAACCAAACTAAATTTAAATAAGATCCAAAAAAATTATTAATAATTTTATTATTTAAAATAAAAAAATTAAAACTTTCAAAATTTTGTTTTATATATAAATTCCTTCTTTACATAATAATTTTTAATCATTTAAAAATTTAATTTTTTAAAAAATAAATATTATTTAAAATATTACTTTTTTTAAAAAAAAAAATGAAAATCGCCTAATTAAAAAAGTCATACAAAAATTAAAAATATTAAAAATTAAAAAAAAAAAATATTATCATAATCCTATATTTATATTCCTTTCCTAAGTATTGTTATAGTGGAATTTTTTTTACTTCTGAGAAATCCTTTCTCTAGAATGGCTCAAAGAAGGTGGTCCTCATTAGGATTTTTAGTCATTATCTACGTCATATTCTTCTCCCCTTCGATCAAAGCTCAAATTATAAGAGGTATTATATATAAATAATCAAAATGTAACTATTTGTCCAAATAAAATTCACCAAAAATCGTAATAATTAGTTATAATTTGTATATAAAACGTATATTTGTAGTAAAGGTGAGGAGGGATTCAAAATCGAAGTATTTTTTCATCCTTATATTTAGAGTAAATGCAGTTGAAAACTGCTATACGGGAATATATTTCATTAAAATATTATATGTATTTTGTTCTAATGTGCTTGAGATTTAGAACTAATTACGCATAATTTTAAACTTTAATCAGTAAAATATATATTTTTTAATAGTAATTTTAATCAATTCTGGTTTAATTTTATATTCTAACTTGTGATATGGAAGTTTTAATGTTAGTAGTTTATTGATATATTACGAAAGTTAAATTTTTTTAAAAAATTAGTATTATTCAATTCGAATTTAAATTAATGAATTTTTTTTTGTGAGTTTTATTTCTAATTATACAATTTTTTAGGCTCAACAGCTTATACTAAAATTCATTTATTAAAATATAACCAGTCCCTAACAGAGAATTTGAACTTATGGAAGAAGGAAAGTGGGTACATTTTTTTCTGTTGTGAATTTGTACATTTTTACTAAATTTAACTTTTAAAAGTGATAATTTTAATTAGATTCAAATATCATATCAATTTTATATAAGATGATATAGAAAATATTTGTGTTTTCCTTTTCTCTAAATAAAAACAATTTACTTTTATATTGCATATAATATATATTTTTAGTTTCGCTGAAAGGGGAGGGGGGCATTATTTTGTTTGGAGGATTTTAGGACAAAATTTAAACTTCCAGTGATCAAATAATTTTTACATTCACCAGGGTTCAAATCTCCCAGATCTAACCCTATCAGTTGACTTTTTATTTTGAATCATATAATAAAATTTTTAAATATTATTCAGACATAAATTTTTTTTTCTATAAGGGATTCCAGATAATTTAATGATCCACCCACTTTTGAAAAATTAAACTATCTAAAAATTAGATCGCAAATCTTATAATTATTTTTTTTGAATTCGAATTCGATTCATTTGACTTAAAAATATCATGATTATTATCAGAATTATGAAGAGATAAAATTGTCTAGATATAAATACCAATACATGGTTTAAAAATATATTCAGATATTGATATAGATATTATTCTGTAAAAAAATGTATCTACACAAATACTATTATTTTGCAATACATTTTCGATACAATTTTTTATTATAAAAAATATTAAAGGTATACATAATATCTCTTAATTAAGAATTTATGTCTAAATCTCAAATCATATTTATATGAAATTATAAGAATCAATGTTGGCTGGCAATTAATGATGAAAAATTGCTTCATTTAAACCGATTTAAAACCGGCTAATTTAGTTTGTCCAGAAAAATATTACGCAATCCTGGAAGATTTTGCTAATAGATAGTACAATGTTTATGTCCAAAATCTCGAGGATTGGGCAATATTTTTCCGCCAAAATATTATGTTATTCGTTTTTAAAAATCAGCTTAAATGGAGCGATTTTACATAAAGGAGGGATTATTAACTAATAAAAAAAATGATTCAACCCCATTTATCAAAATCAATAATTAAAATCTCTAGATAACTTGAATAATGTTTTTAGTTTTTCAAAAATCGATGGGTTAATAAGCTATTGAAAATGAGTTAAACATTTAATATAGATTGAGCATTCTGAATCTGTATTTTTAGATGCATTGCGGTTCAAATCAGTTTTAGTGTACTATATAATTGTTTGTTTTTACTATGAGATATTATCTTTAAAAAATTTTTTATGAATTCCCTAAGGAAATACACCTTCTGATGTTAGGCTAATTTCCTTCTCCTTTTCAATGTCTGTAGTATCAATATTATATTCAAATCAAATATATAATAGATGCTATAATAATTTGTAAGTAAAGAAATAAACTAGGACTAGTATGACCGCAGAAGACTTTGCCAATTTATTTTAATCCCATTATTAAAAGATAATATGTTTTAAGATCAAAATACAAAATATTATTTTTTAAACAATTGTTTTATAATAATGTTTATTCACATGCTAGAATCGTAGTCCTAAGTTAAATCAATAAATCAAGTCAAATCTCTAACTTTCTCGGAGGAAGGGGTTACTCCTTTAAGTGCCTTCTATCCCTCCATGAGCCCATTACGTTAAGATCCCCTTCTGAAAGTTTATGACAACTTTTAAATATTCTAAACGGCTGTGTTTTTTGGTCTAGTTTTGACTAATTTTATCTTTCTTATGTTATCACCTTTTCGGTTGGGCATATATTGGATGGTTAATAGGTGATTATCAATAATTAATAACTTAGGAAAGGCAGATAAAAATAAAAAAAATGGTTGGTATAATTTGCGGTATCGGTTTCTCATTCAATCCCACTGGAAGTTAATTAATATGTAAATATCGTTTCTACTATATCTACTATTAAGCAAATGGCACCATTAGATTTGGCAATTTTGTAAATTTTAATACATATCTTTTAGTATAACACCCTTGAAGTAAAATATAGAGAACATGTCTGATATCTCTAAAATTTTCAACACAGCCACTAAGTCTAATGCAACATTAAACACTCCATTTTATAATTAAAATAAGTTAAAATCATAACAAATACTATCTTGTTGTACTAATTGGTTCACAGAATTTAATTACATTGCCTTTTAGAATGGTTTTAGCTCTGATTGCCACTTAACTTTCTTAAAATATTCATGTATTTTATCAATAATCCTTAAAGTATTTCAGTTCTTTTTTGCAGTAACTACATGACCTAAAGGAGGGGTAGGAGCCATCATATATCCTTCAGGTGGGTAAGCATTATGTTTTTAAATGTGTAGGGAGTAAAAATAAATTGCATAGGAGAGTAAATCGTAGCCTGTTGCCTCCATCTTATTCCTCTCTCATGATAACCCTGATAGATTTTAGCAAGAACTACTAACATTTTTGTTTTTGAATTGTGTCTTTAAAAATATATTTTACAATATATAAATAATTTACAGATTATATTTAAAAATATGGGAGGTAAAAGGTTTTGGGGGGGGGGGGGGATTTTCCATTCGCTTAAAATGATGAATGATATCAAAACTGCCAAATTTGCGAAGAATCCCCCCTCCACCCCAAAATACTTGGTTACGCCAATGGGTTTGAATGCCTTTTTAAAATGTTTTTTACCCATTCCTCCTATCTGACCTCATTATAAGGTGGGGTAGAAGAGGTTATAAATTTGTAAAAGTGGGAGGGGAAGGGAACCCATGAAGGTACACAGCCATAAAATTTGAACAAAATTTTAAATATACCCCGGCCGTGTCGGGTCTGATATTTTTTTAAATACCTGTGCCGGGAAGGGCCTGAAATTTTTTTTTAAAGAAATAAGTCCTAACCGGGCCTTGCAAATGATACCTCTGCAAGTCTATGGAATATATCAAGTTTTAAATGTTTTTCTAGGTAAATTTAAATTAAGCTCAATATATTAATTGTTTTTATCAGGTAAAAATATTATTATTTATGATGATTTTATTTATATGGTAGGTAAAGGCTGGGAGTGTAATGAGTGTTATTATTTTTTAGTTATTAAAATCATATTTAAAAAAAATTGCAAATAAGGAATAATCTTTTTATACGCCAATGAGTTTGTTAATATATGAAACTAGTGATGCTAATTAGCTGCATCAAGATAAACGGCGGCCTGATTCATTTAGAGGATTTAGTTGTAAAAATATTGACTTGATTCAAATAATAAATTTCGATTCGAAAGCCAGGTTGAATTTCAAGCAAATCTTTCCAAAGGGTTGGGCTCTTCCCGACTAATTGCAGATGAAACAATAATAATATTAAATATTGATTTGTGTTACTAGATCATTAAGTTAAAATAATGCAAATTAAGGCTAAGATATGAGAGCATACATTTTTTTAACTTAAAAAAATGAAATTCATAATAAAATACTTACTATTTTTTTAAAAGGTAACAGGAAACATTGTATACACGAAGGAACCATGTATCAAGATGGAGATTCTTGGGATCCCAACCCTTGCACATATTGTAAATGCGTCTATGGAAAAGCAGAATGCAGGACGTACCCTTGCAGTCCATTACAATGTCCAGAAAATGAGAGATACGTTCCAGAAGGAGAGTGTTGCCCCATGTGTATAGGTAGATTCTTTTTTATTGATACCTTCACTTGGAATATTTCTTTTGAGTTATCACTTTTATAAAGAAAATGCCTATAGAGTATTATAGAGAAAGGATTATATTATATACCACCAATCTCAATTATGCCAGCTCACCCTTGATTTTTACCTGAAATTAAATTTTCTAATCCAAAAATATCTATTAATCTCTTGTATAAAATTAAAATCTTTATCAGTGTCCTCTTACTACATTATGATCACCAAAATGTTCGCCTCTGCTAGTGTCTATTTATTTTTTTAAATTAACGACCATCTATTTTTTTAAAATAATTATATTATATTTATAATTTAATCAATTCAAGTAGAGATAAGACCATAATTATCCAAATGTGTGAGATTATTATTAACTCCTCCATGAAGGGATAATCTGGCAAAAGATAGTAAATTAATTAGCCATAGGTCGATCGTCGATCTATCAGTAGAGATATCTTATATAAATATAAAAATACTGACATTTTTTGAGCCTATTCAAAATATACGTCCCCAAATGATAACTAGTTTAAAAAAAGGATTGAAGTCTATTTAAATAAATTCTTAAAAATTGACCTGCCTCTTTTTCTGATAATGATTTAAATAGATAACTAAAATATAGAGGGACAAGTTTTCGTAGTATTAACAAATAACTCAATATGATATTCCTTCTACAAGGTATTTTTTTTTAGTATTCTGTTTGTCATATACTTTTTATTATAATCTTAGAAGAAACCATTTTCAATAACATTAAAAAATAAGTAACGATTAGACAAAAGAGCAATGGGAAAACACAATCTTCTATGGTTCAAAATTCTGTATCAGTTTACAATATAGTATAATAAGAACATATACAGAAAGCTTTGACTCAGATTAAAATACCTGCAAAAAAATTAAGGCGTTATAGATATCCATATTTAATAAAATGGCATGGAATTGCCTGAGTGCAGATGAATTATTTTTATAGATAATATAATAAATTCTGTCAAAGGTGTCCTCAACTAAATACTAATTCCAGAAATTTATTTATTTTGACTAAGCAAATTAAAGATTTTTCATCCAAAGGTACATGTCATACCGCCAAAACTACAATCTTGCAAGGATTTTAATATCAATTTCTTACCTCTTTATCTTACTGAAAACGCATGGGGTCTACTCAAATGAAAGTTTAAAAAATCAGGAATCTCTGACAAAAGTTTATTTGAAGATTAAATGAACGTTCATATGGAAATCGTTATTCCAGAATTTGAGGCAGAATCTTAAGTCAAAGCCATAAAGAATATCACCCTTAGTATAAAGGGTAAGGATGAAACATTTTAATGTAGCTAGGCAAATAAGTAATGATTTTAGTACAGTAGGACAATAATTTTGCATAAAGTTTCTTATCATAAATTATATGTTTAAATTCATATTAAACTAGTAAATAGCCCAACAAAGAATGACGGGGGAATCAAAAATTTATTCTTAATTTGAGGAAAAATGAATCAGAAATTTCTTCTTTATTTGATGACGGATGAATCATAAATTTACTCTTTTTTAAAAAAAACTATGAATCTTAAATATAAATTTTAATGAGAGTTAACTAATTTCTGTCATTTTGATTAAAGTATCAAACATTTATATATATAGAATCGGTTCAGATAATGTTCGAGGGAGTTACAAAATTATAACTGTTTAGGTAAGGTTGTGGAATTTAATTCTATAAAGATTCAAGTTTGGTTAAGGTTTAAAACTTTTAATGAAGGTTTATAAAGGTTTGGTAATTTTTTTATACTGGACTTGTTCAATCTTGTTCTCTGTGTAATAGAATATATTTTGCTCTCTCGATCGAAACTTTTAGCTGGAATAGATGGCTTTTGTCTCTAATAGATAGAGTTTGGGTAGTTCTAATTTTCTTCCTTCAAAATTGCAAGAATAGCAGAGAATCTACTCGATGTCGTTAAAAGTTTTTATAATGGAACCGACTAATTGCTTAAGTTTTGCATTTTATGGTGTATTGACTTCAATTATATACCAAGTTTATATAAGATATTTTGTAGCCATATTATTTCCTTCATCTATACAAATATTTGATATCCTTGATGAAGATTCAAAATATAGAGAGGGACAGAATGAATAATTTTTTAGCTCCACTTCCTTTGATTTTATGGAAGGGATTAGAAAATGGCAAGAGAAATTAATTTTCTATAATTATAAATTATTATTAATATAATGTAACATAGAGTTACATAATATTTTTAGTGGTTAAAAAAACAATTTTAATACATAACACATAGAGATAAATAAAATATTAACAAAAAAGAATTTATATTAAAAAATATATTATTTATTATTTATTATTTATTTTTTATTTTATATTATTAAATTTTATAAAATAACCTATATGCACATGTTTAAACAGTTTATAGGGGTTATATAATGGTTCGATTTGCTTTCTTATTTTTTTTTTAAGAAAAAATAGGTTCAGGTTTATTAAATAAATATTAAATTAAATAGGTTCAGTTTGGTTAGTTTTCAACCTTCTGATGGTAAAATAGGTTAGTGAAGTAAATATTTAGTATATTTTCAACTAGGGGGGGGGGCACCTATACCACTTTTTGGAGGCTGATTTGATTCGATCCGATATTATAGATATTAAATTGATATCGGCTGCCGATTACAGATCATATCCGATATCATATCTTATTTAGTATTCTGTAAACATGCTAATAGTTTTAATTTTAAATGCATACATCTACTCATCTCACATATACTTTATAGAAGTATAACATCAATAATTTAACTATAACATAAAATAAATCACTTATTAAATATATTATAATGATCAATTATAGTTTATATTCATGAATCTAAAAGTATACATAAACAAATATAATATGAAATTTTAAATAAATTTTTTTTAAAATTAAGCCGCCATTTTATCGGATATGAAAACTTTATTAACCGGTATTTTTAAAAAGATAAAATATCGGCCCGATCAGATAAAAAATATTGGGACCATCCCTACTTTCAAATATGCAGAAATTATATAGGTTTATTTTATTTCATAATAATTTAATTATAAATTTTGTTCATGATATATTTTATAATAATAAAGAAGTTTAAATTTTGAATATAGTTATTTTAGCTGTTAAAAAAAAGAGTTCGGAGATATCAATGAAGATAAAAACTCTAGCCCACATCAGGATTTAGTATTAACTGGTTTTGATGAAAAATATATAACCCTAACCATTTCATAAACACTAATCCTAGTCCACATTAATTTTACTCCATACCCAGTTTCGAGAAAATACATCTTATCTTTCCTTCCTTAAAAATAACATATATATAAATATACTCACTTAAAAAATAATTAAAATCTAGATTATTCCAAGAAAGATTCATATGATCATAAGCATCCTTTGAATGTTCCCGATCCCAAGGCTAACATTATGGATATTGAGGAAGATAGGAAACAAGAAAATAGGAATTCAGCTTCGGATAACGGAGAAGGAGATAATGACGAAGATGAAGAGGATGATATTTCGGATCCAGTTTATGTTAAAAAAATATATTTAATATTTTGTAAAAGTTAAAATTTTAATCACAAATTTTTAATAAAAATAATTAGTTTTTTATGATAATATCTCTTTATAATTATTAATATTTTATCAGGATTCAGAAAGTTCGAAAAAGAAAAAATTAGCTAAACTTTTATTATTTTTTCAATAAGGTTTATATATTTTTGTACGACATCAGATAGATATATACAAATAAAAGTAGAGTAACAAGAATTTTATTGTATATAATAATTTTAAACGTTTTAATTTTAGGATCAATACCATCGTTACCCACAGAACATGGTTGAAAACATGGTAACTTCTCTATTTATCTCATATAATTTTATAATTATACTATTTCATTTCCCAATTGTATTACATCAAAAAAAATTATTTAATTTCTTTTCTATATCCCATAACTTTAGAACAATGAAACCAAACATTTAATAGGAGTGGGACAATCGGTAACATACATTAAATATATCAAATCATAATTATATTGATATAATATTTATTTTTTCATAGGACAATGCCTACCAGCAACACCCACAACAACACCCACAACAACAAACACAACAAACCACACAACAAAGAGTAAAAACCCCTAGGAATATTTTGATTTTTGGCTATAATTTATTTTGTACCCCAAAATAAGATTTGTATAAATTATTTTTAACTGCTTTTTAAAATTTTTATAAAAATAAATATATTTAATTTTTATTTTAGGACGGAAGGCCTGGACCACATGGAAGACCTGGTTCAAGGGTAAATAAACATTTTATACGATACGATTTAATTAAGAATATATCATCTTTTAGGCTACCTTTATTAATGATTGAATCATTTTGTTCCCTTTCCCCTTTTAAAATGCTAATATTATTTTAATCGAAGATAGATTATTGTAACTCATTTGCCATTTATCTACTACCCTAAATCAAATTATATACCATAAATTTTATTTTTGTAACCATTATATTCAAAAAAAAAATTCGTAAAGAGAGAGAATGTCATATAACTAATTTATAAATCTTATCGAGTTAGCATATTCTATTCATTAAATGATGTCAACAATAATTAAAGATATTTAAATTTTTAAATCGCGAATCAAATTGATCAAAACAGTTTAAGTTACGTTCTGTCCAATCCATTGAAAAAAAAAAACCATACTATAATTTCACGAAGATTGAATCGCTATGATAAAATTTTCAAAAATACTGATTTATTATTCGTGAAACTCATAGATCCAAAAATACTCAAGTTAGAAAATAGGAAAAGTCTTACAACCCTAACGAGGTTTGAGATACTTGAATAATTTATTTATGGAAATTAGGCATTTATCTACTAGTCTTACTTTAAAATGGAATTCATTACACAGATAGAATCTTTCTATTATAACTTGCATTTGAAAAATTTATTCTATTAGATACATTTTTAGATCTTAAAAATATCTTTATCTAATTCTGCCATATTTAAGGCAAAAAAGACCTTTATGTAGATGCCAGCAAAAGCAGACAGTCTTAAAAGAGCTCTCAAATTTTAATAAGTTTTATATTAAAAGGTCGTATGACGAGGATAGATTTAGAGGTAACATGTATTTTGTGGAAGAATGGAAAGTGCTCATTGATTTGATAAATATATGTTTCCGAATAGGGATTTTTATTAAACAAGACAATACGTCATGTCATACAGCAAAATTGAACAATAGATTTTTATTAGACAGCGGATTGGCTTTTGGAATGGTTTGTATCAAGACCTGATTCAAATCGAAAAAAAATATCTGGATTTTATTAAATAAAGGCCATTACATGTTAACATAGATCTAAAAATGGGATTTATATGGTTAAGTATTTGTAAAAAATCTTACCAAAATAAAGACAGACTTTGATTTGAACTCAGCTTAAAAGAACTAAAGCCGTCACGAGCATGAGTTAATAGTGATCTAACTATGTTATAGAACTTAAATGGAGACTATTTTGATCTCTCAATAATATGAGCTTTTTGAGCATTTAGAATTTATTTTTACTTATTAAAACTTGAATTTGGTAAGGAATTATATTAGAAAAAAAATAAACAACTAACAATGATTAAACCATTAATATATTTAATTGGTACCTGCTAACTATTATGAAGTAAGTAAATTTAGGCTATGCAACAATAAAAAGATATAAATCAGGAATACTGAATCAACAAGATTTTAAATTGTCTACATCAAGAAGACAAATATTTTAGGAAGAACAAGAAACTAAATTATACAATTATCTAATAAATGCAACTAAAATGTTTATGGGTCCTTGTTCCATGTAAATGATCTTTTTGGGAACATGGATCCTGTTGCAATTTTAATCCATTCTTTATTTATTTAAATTGTCAATAATTTTTTATAATTATTTTTTACCATGACTTATTTATATCAATAAAATAGTAGCAATAATATATCCATTTTTTATATTTAAAAATAATCAATATTTTGTAGCCCAAAAGCGCTTCATAGGAAAGCTCATCCTTCCCCGGGTGTAGCTTTCTTTCCCAATTTTGTTTTTCAGAAAAATTAATACTGTTTAAAAAGTATAATTTTTAAAAAGAATTTCTTATGCATAACATTAAATAAGTGGAATAAAACGAGATATTCATTATTCAATATTATCAAGTAGTTTTAATTTTATTGACGTTTGCCATGTAGGGCTCGCAGTCTCCCCAGTCTCCCCTAATAAGTTATGCTTCCAAAAATGATTTTAGGATTTCTTTAAGTCCCGGGTTCTAATATCAATAGGGCTGTATATATAATACAATGAAACTTAACTTAGTGTAAATGTAAACCTCTACTAAATTCAATTTTGTTAGTTTCAAATTCAAGATATACTATTATTATAGAAAGGAATTTCAAGCGGAGTGTAAGATTCGGCTTTACCCCCCCCCCCCCTTCCCCCCCCGTTATTTTATTACAACGTATGTGGAACAAATGTATGATTTTCAATAATTTTTTTAATTTATTAATTAAATGTATAGGGTGACCCTGGTTCTGAAGGACATAATGGTAGACCAGGAGAAACCGGCGCCCCGGGAAGTCCACCTGACGTAAATATAACACTTTATTTAACACCATTATATATTTTTATTTATAAAATATTAAGTAATGATTGAAATATTAAGCTGCGTTTATATCAAGTGCCTAAATAGTATCACATCACTCTACTTAGTGATGTATGCTTTATTTCGCTATCTCTTATTAATTACTGAGAGGCGATATCGCTTTCTTTTTTCTATTACCATAAATGCAGCCTTAGTATTTATTAGTAAATATAATACTTATCAGCTAGAAATATACAATTAATTTATAATATATTTTTTTATAATGCAAATTTTGATATTTCTAAAATAAATTTTATATCATAAATAATAGTTAAACGCATGGTACAGAAATGTAGTTAGCGTCACGGGCTCTGACGATAAAGCTGACACATATGGTGCCGCTAGGATGAATTATATACAAGCCCAAGTTGTAATAAGATAATATTTTATATATCCACATAAATTAAAATCATTTATTCTACTTCCTCTTCATAGTCACCGTTTTATAATTTCTCCAAATTGATTCCCAATTATTATTTTATACAAAATGCATATTGAAATTATATTTTATAGGGTCCGCCCGGTCCTAGAGGAACAAGTGGACACACTGGATTACCTGTAAATATTTAGTTTATATATATTATTTTATTCAAAATTAAACGATTTCAAATTTATGTTATATATTTTTTTTAACTTAGGGAGGCCAAGGTTTGCAAGGACCAAGAGGAGAAACTGGCGATCCTGGGCCATTGGTAATAAATTATTTATGTTATTTTTTTTTATTATACCATATCGATTGCCATATGATAGCATAGTAATATGTAAATGACCATTCAAATCGAATTTCACAATCATGATTTAATTCAAGATAGCTCTATGCAGTGACCTAGAGGGACAATTGATGAATTATTTTATGGATGCTTCATTTACATTTATACAATTTGTTTTATTTATTTATGTATAAAAATTAAAACTATTTTTTTAGGGACCACCAGGAATGCCAGGATCCCAAGGCATATCTGGAATACCTGGAAAAGATGTAATTAAAATTGGATCGTAATTTTAGAACAAAAAAAATATTGTATTATTAATTTTTTGCGGGAATTTTTAAGCTCTATGTCAATAAAATTTTTGTTATTTTTGAGTCGATTAATTAGATTTAAAATTATATATATTGGCCAACATATACAATATATAGGATTAGATATATGACAGAGGATTAGACTAATTTAGAATTATTAGTAATTGCCTTAATGGTCGAATAAATATATGAGCTCGCATTTAAAACAAATCTTATCTATATTTTCAGGGTGTTCCTGGCAGAGATGGTGAAACTGGACCTAGAGGAGAACCGGGACCATTAGTATGATTTATTTATATTTTTACAAAAATATACTATTTTATTATTTAAAATATAATTTAAAACAATTCATTAATAAATAAATTATTATTTAAATTCTTAAACTCGATTTAATTTTTTAAAAATTAATTTATATAAAATACGTAGGGACCTAGAGGAGCTCCTGGATTACCCGGATTCCCTGGATCGAAAGGACATATGGTTTATTTAAGAATATATATATTCTTTTTCCGCTATTTAACATTTTTTTTTTCACTCATTTATTTATTTATTCATTCATTTATTTATTCATTCTTTTACTTAAATAAAAATAATTTAAAGGGATTTACAGGTCCAGATGGACCCAAAGGAGATAAAGGCGAACCAGGAGATAGGGTAACATTTTTTTTTTGAAAAAAACACCATTTAATTGCTTTCTTTATATTGATGAGGGGGTAGGGGGAGTGAACTTTCTTCCCGCAACTTATAAAGTCTCATACATGTGCGTACATGCGAATAATTTTATATAATGATTTCTTTTTCATAAAAATAATTATCTAAAATAAATTTAATTTTTAAAATATATATATTTTCTAAAAAAAATTATGATTTATTTTAATTTTTTTTTTTCAAAATAACAAACGTCTATTCCTATCAACAGTAGTATAATAGATGATTATTGCGTGTTATCTTGGTAAAAAATTTCTGATGAAAAAATTTCTTCTTGAAAAATTAGTTTTTTTTTCCATTTGATAATTTAATAAGAAAAAATATCATTCTATGATTTTAAAACTATTGCAAGACAACGCCCCAACGATGCAGATGTTATAATAACATTTCTTTGCCAGATTACCATAATTATTTTACAAATAAAATCACACAAAATATTTTTCAGAAAATTGGAATTTTACAATATCAATTGTGGGGCTTTAAGCGAGAGGGATGATTAATATAGGATCAGTTGAGAGTTCTCCATTAAAAAATGCTAATAACCCGAAATATTAGTATTATAATATGCTATCAAGACTAAAAATAAATTTTAATTTAGATTTACAAATAATACTTTTATCATCTTTCAAAAAATTGTTTCGATCATCTTTACGGATATTAATCTATCTCCTAATCTCAACACGAAAGCAGCTAATTTTCCTTGATCAAAGCCCCACTAATAATCATTTATTCTCATAAAGATAATATCCATCATAAATAAATAGTGAGATTTGAGAGTATTTTTTTTACTACTTTAATTTTCATAAAGATCTATACCTGAATGCTATAATTTATTTAATTCAATTATCTATAACTCTGTCTATATTACGGCGTGAAATAGGCAACTGCTTATCCGCTAAGCATAGTTTTTGGAAGATAAGAAATCTTTAGAAAATCTTATTTTTGGGAGAGATTTCCACTCATCGTGAAGCTATTCAAAAATACACATAAAATTCAAATACCCGCATACCCAATAGATTCTAATGAATTTAATTTTTTATAAATTTTCATGACTCCATATTCAAAATAAAAACCATACCCTAACCTAAAATAATATATTTATTAAGGTCTTTCTTGGCTGTGATTAAAGCTTTAATCACCTAAGACACACAACACATTCTAAGAGCAAAATAAGTTACTTCACTAATCTGTATGTTGTTTTTTTAATGTATCAACTAAACAAATAATAAATTCTCAACACAATTGATAAAAATTTTTTTGTTCAAGCATTTTGTTGAGTTTTAAATATTCTTTAAATTTTGTCAATTCCAACAAAAAAGTCAACATACTAAGTCAGAAGTCATAACAAACCCGTTCTTTCAGCATTGTTTTTTTTAAAAAAATTCTTAACAAATTAACTATTTAACAATTCAATTAATGCTTATATACATTTGAAATTATATATCCATTACAACCAAAATCCTTCTAAATTCTTAAATAGTCCATAATTTTTTTAAACAAAGTTCAACGTTTAGTTTGGTCAAATAAGAAAAATATTTATCATGTAGAAATTTAATGTATACAAAACATATATACGAGAATTATTTATTATAGTCGAAACCTTTAGGTACTTGATATTTTTATTTTATGTATATGTGTTACACAAAAGTATTAATTATAGATATTATATCTACATAAGTACTCTTTGAGGCGTTATTTTACTTTTGGGTTAATAATAAAAAAAATAGGCAATTTATTTAATAATAAAAAAAATAGGCAATTTATTTTTATGCTTTGGCGTTATATATCATTTAGAAATATTTTTAATTTTTATCCATTTCCAATATCCCAATCAGATGGTTTGAGAAAAGCCCAAACTCGGTTAAGCCAGTTTTAAATCTGAACCCATTTTTAAGTTGGCTTTGAAACTGAATAATTAAAGAAAAAACGAAGGTTTGGTTTAAATTTTTAAAAAAGGTATAAATATGCCAAAGGAAAACATATATATTACAATTCGTGACTATCTTATTTCCTCCAAGATTTTAATTTTCCTCTTTAATGACAAGTTGCGAATTCAAAATGTGCCATTTCCTCCCATATTAATTTTAATAACAATAATTCTTTAATATTATTTGTTGCAGATAATAACTAATTAGCTTAGATTTCATTTATGCAAACCGAATCGAACCTTTATGAAATGAACCTCATAATTTTCTGAACCATAACCAAACATTGATGCCAAATCTCTAAAAGGCGCGAATAAAACCTAATAATTTCTCTAAACCGGTTAAAAACGTTTTGTATATAAATTGTGATTCATGTGTTTGATAATTCCTGTTGATTTTTAAATTTTATAATGGTAATTTTTAACATTCACCAAAAAAAATTTTTATTGTAGCATTTTAAAATATTTTGTTAATTTGTTGCTTGATTATATAAAATTTAGATATAATAATTGAATGTAGTTTTCGTGATAAAATAATTTTCATTATTTAAAAGTGGTTGACTAAAATGCTCTACAATTTTAATATCAAATCAAATATTATTTTATTAAATATTATGGACTTATGGATTTGGAATTCTAGGCCTAGTTTACTGCAAGCGCTTATCGCTGGTAGAAATTGTTCAAAATAATGTAACCAATAAGCAAGCACACGATTAAAATTTTTTAAATTGATTTAGAAACACTCAGATTTTGGCTTGCTAGCTTTAATCATGAACGTTCTGGTATTTTCATAGCCGTATACGTTTTATCTTTACTGATTAATTATAAATATTAATTACACTTTGTTATAGGGTGTGTACTGTATATTTTCTCAATAAAACAAGTTCACGCTTTTTTTGTGGCTTTCTATATTGTCATTTTTTAAGACTAATTTTGAATAAATATTACAAATATTAAAAAAACCCATATATTAAAAACCAGAATCTTTTTAAGCAGCTGAGCCATAACCAAACCTGAACCTTTTAGGATAACTATACGACATACCAGTCTTTGAATATATGGTATAAATATAATATACTATTTTCATAGAGATAGATTTAAAGTAGCCTATTTAATGGAATATTATTATACATTCCTGCGTAAAAAGATTATAATAAATTTAGTTTTTTGATAAAAAAAATAAACAATTTTTTTAAAAATTAATTTATCACTTACTTCCAGCTCACTCAGAACTAGTAGTGTTAAAAAAATCCAATTTGGGTCAATTTTAGCCTGAAGATTTTGCTCATTTATGTTATGGCAGAAAGATTTGGACCTCTATTTGCCAAATCGGAGGGCTTGCCTAACATTTTTTTGGCTAAAATTTTGAACGGGCCGTTTAAAGACGCTCATCCGAACTCATTTTCCATCTGAACTCGGTAAGAATGAAAATGGGTTTGAATCCATGGTTAAATTTAAAATTTTGGAATAGAGAATAAATAGGTTGATTAAGCAAAAAAAGAACTAATAAATTTTATTATTTTTCTTCTTATATTGTAAATAGGGAGAAATCGGCCTCAGAGGAGAAATAGGTCTACAAGGTCCTACGGTAAATCATTTATTTTAAAAATATTCTAGTTATAATTATATTGTTATTTACTCTTTTTTTAAAGAATTTATTCATTAATTATGGGGAATTAAGTATTTTATTATCAATTTTTGAAAAATTCGATTGAGAAAAAAAAAATTTACAAGAAAAATGATTAATATTTTAAATCAATGTAACGACAAAATATTCTTAATATAGTTCCTTAATTTATTAAAATAATATTTTTATAGGGTCCTAGAGGTCCGGCAGGTGAAAGAGGCAAGGAAGGCCCATCAGGACCAGCTGTAAGTGTATTATTATAATATGATTAGATAAAATACGTGATTGCCTATTCTTTTAAAGGACATTTGGTTAAGCAATATTTAATTTTAGATAGGTTGATATCTACTAATACAGGTTTTTATTAGCTAACTTTATTTTGCTTTAAATTTATTTCATCTTCATATTGTAAATATAGCTAGGTAAGAATTAAAAATTGTCTATGTGTGCCAAAATCCTACAAGCATTAAATGATTTTTTCAAGCTTGAAATTTTATTTTTTTTAAAACCTCGAGACTGAGATGATAAAAAGACTAAATAATAGAGCAATTACCTAACATATATAATATACATTGAAATAATTTATTATGATATTTGAAAGGGTTTAAGAGGCGTGGAAGGAATACAAGGCCCTCAAGGATCTCCTGTAAGTAGCCAACTGTTTTTCTTTATATATCTAATTTAATTAGTAGCATTAAAATAATTAGAATCTATTTTCTATAAATATTATTATGCAATTATCAAATCAATATTATATTTATAATAAAGGGTGCAATCGGCCCTTCTGGATTACCTGGATTTCCTGGTTCGGCAGGCGCCAAGGTAATTAAAATATAAAATATTTAATAATATAAAGTTTGATATTAGAATTAACTTTTTTTCCTATAATCACATACATGTATATCTGTTTTTTATTTTGAATTTTTTAAAATACATTTTTATTTTGGAAATTTAATAAATCTTTTAAAATATTATCTATTTTTATTATTATTTTTTAAAACTTAAAATTAAATTATTATAATTTTAGGGTGATTGCGGACCAAGTGGTCCTAAAGGAAGTGTAGGATTGCAAGGACCGAGAGGAATCAACGGAGAACCTGGTCTACCCGGAGACGCTGGCCCAGCTGTAATAAGAGCGAAAAAAATTATCTATTTCATAAATGTTTCGTTATTAAATATGGAGCTTTCTTAATTAATTATTTAAACAATAAAATATCTATAACAAAATTAAATTTTATAAAAATAACATGTATGCATGAATATAGGGAAGAGTTGGATCTGATGGATTACCCGGCGAAAAGGGAGCAGACGTAAGTTATTCCAATATTATATCTATTTAATATTTTATCATCGAAATTAAAAATTAGAATTAATATTTTGAAAATATTTTTAAACCTCAATTCGGTAACCAAATTTATTAGAAAAAAATGCATAAAATCAACCTATAATTATACTAAGATTTATATTTTTTATAGGGTCAAACTGGACCTATAGGGTTTCCTGGTCTGGTAGGACTTAGAGGGCCACATGGAGCACAAGGAAAGGAAGGTCCTTCCGGGAAAAAAGGAGAACAGGTGATTAATTTTTTTTAAATGAGTTATTTTTGGTGTAAAAATAGAAAATTTTTTAATCCAAAACTGGTAATACACTATTTTATTTTTTTGATATTATATAATTATAAATAAAATCTTATATATCTAGGGAATTCAAGGAGAGCCAGGAGTCCGAGGGGAAGCAGGAACAAAGGGTTTACCTGGAGTACCTGGAGAGACGGGGCTAACTGGACCTGCCGGTGAAACTGGGCCTAGAGTATTAAAAATTTATCATTATAAAATTTTTTTTCTAAAATTATTCTTTTAAATAATTATCACTCGAATAGTAGAATGATTACAGATTACATTTCTCTTAAAATTTAGATAATTTTACTTAAAAAAATCTGTGTTGTATAGATCATGATTTAAATAATTAAAATAAGATATAGAGATAGACACTCATTGTGTATTATATAAAAATAATAATTTTCCTATTATTACATTCAGGGACAACGTGGTTTGCCCGGCACGCCTGGGTTACAAGGACCAGGAGGAGATAGGGTATTTAATTTTAGTTAAACCAGTATCAATAAAAATAATAGACATACATATTTAAATTTGTTATGGGTTTTACATTTTTGGAAAATTTCGTTTTTTACGGGTTTAATAGTATATGTAGAACAGAAAAGATCGGTTTATTCAATTAGTTACAAAATTAATAAATACTTAAAAATCAAAACATTTTAAATCTATTTCTGCATGAATGATAAAATTGATTCTATATTCTTTTTATATAAAATCAAGGGTCTACCAGGAGATTTAGGTTTACCCGGGTTAACAGGACCTGGTGGTCCAAGAGGTCTACAGGGAGAAAGGGGGCTAATTGGTCTGACCGGGGGTAAAGGACCGACGGTATATTTAAAATGAAATAAATTATAGCATTATACTTTCCTTAAGAAATGTTTTTTATTATAACTAACTTTTGTAAATTATATTTATATCCTAAAGTTATCTCATTTTCTTGGAATATTTCAATAAACAAATTTATAGTAATTTTAAGCTATAAATCATTGTATAAAATATATATAATATATGTCAGAGACTTTCATAAGTCAAATTTTTAGGCTTATCCCGAATTTTAAAACAAAATTATTTTTGGCCCGATCCTGGTTTTTTTTAAAGTAATATTTAGGGCTCGGAAATATTTAAACCTGGCTCAAATCATACTATTTTATAAACCGTTTAGGCCGTTCAGAGTAGGGCCTGCAGGTTTCTGATATCCCATTTATTCCAAGCATCTTTAAAAAATTCAATAACTTTAAATATAACATTTAATCATATGCTATAATTAATGGGAAAAGTGATTTTTTTTTAAAAAGAAACGTTAGATTTATAAAAAGGCAATATTATATTTTATTATATTAACGTTGGAAATAAATTTTTATATATATCTCATTTTTTAGGGTGATCGAGGTATTCAAGGAAAATCTGGACCAAGAGGATTTAGAGTAACTAATTTTGTATACAAATTATATAGAAAGAAAGAAAGAAAGAAAGAAAGAAAGAAAGAAAGAAAGAAAGAAAGAAAGAAAGAAAGATAGATAGATTTAAACATTAATTAAAACTAAATTATCCTTATATACATAGGGACTACCCGGAAATCAAGGACCTGAAGGTAGAATAGGAAAACAAGGACTACCAGTAAGATAAAAAATATTTTTTGAACATACAAATAATTTTAAATAGCCATTATTCTTTTATATTTTCAAATTAAATTATTATTAAACAAGTTTATCCTAAATTTTTTTAAATATTGAGCCTAACAGCTAATGCATCTCTGTAACTAAAGAACTAATTACATACTTAAATTATTTTTTCAAGTAAAATAAATATCATATAATGAAAGTATAAAACTATCATCAGGGGTCAAGAGGAGAAGATGGCAAGCCAGGTGAAGCAGGTGCTAGAGGATTGCAAGGATTGCCAGGAATGATTGGGCCAAGTGGACCTAGGGGAACAACGGTATGTTTAATTTTATTTTTACACCATTCGAATATTGACATATCTACCTTTAGATTTATACTTACATTTAGTAATATTTAACTAGAGAATGGAATAGGCCAGAGCACTAGAACTATTATTTTAGTTTTTTTTTGTTACAACAAAATGCAAAACACATTTTCTCAAAGGGATTACCAGGCCATGATGGATTGCACGGATCGATTGGTCCTACGGGACCTAAAGGCGAGAATGGAAAAGATGGCACTATCGGACCTATTGGACTCCCCGGACCACATGTAAATATTATATCATAGTTCAACTAAATATGATTAGATTTGTATTTTAAAAATAAATTATATTCATGATTAAAAGAAGGAAGAATTATTGTATCATGAAAAGGAGATCGATAATCTTTCAAATTTACGAAACTTATGTCTTAATGTTTCACTATATATTTCATAATTTACTACAAGCTTAGCGCGAAGGAGGTTAGGGCGGGCAGAATAAGCCAATATCTTAGATATTATTAGATTTTTATTTTTCCAATTTGTTAAAAATAACTTGTTTTTTTTAAAATTCTTCATGTATAAATATTTTTTTAAAAAAGGGGGAAACCGGTCCAAGAGGAACTCCTGGTTTGATAGGAGCACAAGGTTTTCAAGGTCTACAGGGGTTGCCTGGTATAGTTGGAAGCCAAGGAAAATCTGGGGATCCTGGACAACAGGGCGAAAGAGGAGAAGTTGGACCCGCCGGACCTAGGGTAATTATAAATATGAATTTTATATTAATAAATAATTTTCTTAATTTTTGAATTAATTATCTCTTAAGGCATTAAAAATATACAACTAATATTTTAATTTTTATATTGTTTTTATATTAATTTATTTTAAAAAATATATATACATAAATAGAAATCTAAGATGAATGAATGATGTCATTTTATTTACAAATATAATTTTATAGGGAGATAGAGGTGCACCTGGCGAAAGGGGGGCTAGAGGACCAGGTGGTCCTCAAGGTATAAGGGGAGCGATTGGAAGTGCTGGACCTGAAGGCCAAAAAGTTAAAAATTTTTTATTAATTCCTTTTTATATCTAATTATAATAATTAATCACCCAAATAATTTTAATTGTTAATTTTTGAATATTAATCTTAAAAAAATTTATAATTTAGTTTTATTAATTCTATAAAATATGTTTATTTCATAATTTTATATTGTTTTATTTTAGGGAGAACAAGGTTTGATCGGAGAAAAGGGATTACCAGGAACTCCTGGAATTATCGTAAACATTTTGAATTTTTTATAATAACTAAAGTTAACTTAACTAATCAGATTGATTTTTTTCGTTCAATTAGAACAAAAAGCAATGATGAAATACTTCTTTTTTAAATGGAAGATTGCCTAAATAATTTAAAAAATTTAATGGCTACATTTGAGCCGAGCTTTGATGAAAAATATATAGTCTATAGATTTCGATGTTTTGGCCAAGGTAAAATACTTTCTGATAGAAAGAAAACGCCTCATTCTTTGAACTAAGTCTCTCTAGGAAGGAAAGAACCTTGTGGTCTAAAGATGCCTATTATCCATGTGGCCACTGGAACAAAAAAGATGTTGTCCAATATTGAATATATTTTTTGTTGTTAAATGTACTTCTCATTTAAATTTTATTTCACAATTATACTAATAGAGGTTTAGCCCCATGACATGTCCCTCATTTCCTTCTAAAATATGAAAGGCTAAATTATTTGTCTTTTCCCATTTAATGTGTTTAAAACAATGGGTTTTGGAGCTAGAAAGAAAGTGGTAATGGTTTGTTTTATTTATCGAAAAAGAAAGCCATTTGAGAATTTGCAGTATATTGGTACAGTATAAGCAAATATGACACATTCTGTGCAAATATTGTTATGGCAGGGGATGACTTTAATCCATTCTTAACTGCTATCAAGATTTGCAAATTTAAAGTTGGCGAGATTTTTCAGTTATTTTATCACGTGAACATTTAGTTCATTGGAAATTCTCTTCTCCAACTTGTCCTAAACCTTATCCCGAACTTTTTGTGCCAGGACTAGCCGAGAACAAATTTATGATATTTACAGTATTAGGGCAGCTTAAGAGTTCCTAAATGAGTTAAGGTTATTTATAATCACCCAGAATGAGAGATTCTAAGGAAATGGGGTGTTTGCAAAACATTGTCATATTCATCGATGTCCGGTATGAGACAATGAACAATGTTTTAAAAACCTTAAGGAGTTTGTAGACAAACTTTAGGATCTAAGCGGAGAAGGTGGACTTTGTTTATTATTTTCGAAATGCCAATGCAAGATGAAAGGAGGATTAGAGATCTCTGTTAAATGCTTTGTTCAGATTTAATTGGATCTTGATTATATTATAAACATGGAAGATTGAGGATAACTGCTAATAAAAAAGAAATTAGAATATTTGGCAAATAAGGAAGAAACATGAGTGTTCTTAAAATCGAGTTTAAGTTAGTATGTGTTTTCAATGCATTCCAAAAATATTTGACTAAGAAGGCAGCCTTAGATTCACTTTTTATTTTGGAACCAAGTTGATATAATTTTTGCTGAGTACGGAGGAGAATCATTTATCAGATTTCCAATTATTTTTTAGTAATTTAGCATATTTCGAATATATGTAATGGGGAGAATACATATGGGGCCAGGAATCTTTGATCAGATTTTCTATTTGACACAGTCTCTAAGAAAATTAATGATTACCCCACAGATTTCTGAGCATTGTCCATATTTCTTATTATTTTGCAAGAATCCTGCTTATTATCGAGCTCGTTGCAATGGGGATGATACCGCCATCCGTTTTCTGAGCTCTATAAAGACATCAAAGGAGATGGGGATTAATTGTACACTTTTTTGTTAAATATACATCAAGTTCCTCAGCAGACTTGATGCCTAAAATTTTATGAGGTCATTAAAAATTTAGCCTATAGATTTACTATTATAATTATATTTAAATTTTGATCTTATATGCTTTATTTCTTTATTAAAAAATTTAATTATAAAAAGAAAGAATTATAAGCATAAAATCTTACAGAATGATCAATTATCAAAGTAAGTAATTTTAATATTTTTTTTAGTATTTTTGTTACTGATAATTATTAACGAAGTTTCTTGGTAGTGTGATTGCTCTACATTATGGAACATTCAGATATGCTTATTTATAATATCTAAGTCGAAATAAATCTGTTATTTGAATTTAAGATATTATTACAAATTTTATAAAATTTAGAAGAATTTAGTAGTGTGCCAGAATTCTCAATTATAATTATTAATATAAAATATTTGAATGTAGTTGGTTATTAGTGTAAAATTAGAAAGTCTAATTAAAAATAATCAAAATAAACCCTTTAACATAAAAATTAACTCATAACTAGCAATTTTTTTAAAAATAACTTACTTATATTTTATAGAGTTCCTTTTTTTTAGTCATCTCTTTTAGGAACTTTTTTTACGTCATATTCTTATATACAGTATTGCTTTTAATAAAGCTTCTTTAATTTTTTATCCGGTGTATAAATTTCTACAATATAATAACTATCTATCCTCTAATAATGTCTATTATATTTATTTAAAGGGAATACCAGGTGGAAGAGGTAGCCCAGGAGAAGCTGGACCCAAAGGAGAACAAGTAAGTGATACATTTTTTAAAATTTTAATCATGTTTTAAATTATTGTGACTAAATTTCATGCCTATTCAAATCAGATACAAGCATTTGCAAGTTATTAAATGATATGATAATATTGGTGTTATATTTCCTATATCATTACACAGGACAATACCTAAATAAATAGTAGAAAAGGATCCTAGAAATTACTTTTTACATATATTTATTTTCCACAGGGCATAACAGGACTACAGGGACAACAAGGACCAGAAGGTAAACAAGGAGAACAGGGAACAACTGGCCCTAGTGGACCTGCAGGAAATATAGGCTTGCCAGGATTGAAGGTTAGTTATACATGTAATATCACATGTATATAATATTTTGATCATTAAATAAAATTTTTGTCCTAATTAATATTTTTCTTTTCCCTCTCACTCAGAGCTTCATCCCTTTATTTTTTGATAAGACCCGGCCCAGGCCATCAGTAAAAATTTTTTTTTGGATCCAAGCCTGGCCCATATTTAATATTAAAAAAAATTACCAAACCTAGCCCAGGCCCATAATAAGTTTTTCAAAAATTTTTCCCAAGCCCCGCTCAAGCCCATATCCATTGTATTTTTTTAATGAAAAAAAAAACAATATTTAATTTATTAGGGAATCATTTTGTTTTCAATACTGAAATTTGTTTTTATTTTTAGAAGAAAAAAAATGCAATATTTTTTATAAGTTTGCAACTCTTTTAAATAAGCTAATTAAGTGAAAAATTTCAAGTCTCATACCTGACCTAATACCATTAAAAAAGTTTTATAAACCCAGGCCAGATAAATTATAATATCAGGCCCTTACCCAGCCTATGAGCCACAGGCCGGCTAGTACCCGGCTTATGAAGATTTCTGATCCCCCTTCCAAACTTAGAAGAAATGATAAATATCCCATATTAAATTCTTGCCTGTCATACCGAAAATACACTTATTTTGATATCATAAATATTTTTTAAGAAAAGTTGAAATTATAAAAAAACTCTCCTATTTCCAATTATATTCATAAGATGATGTATATTATATAATGTTAATTATAAGATTACGCGTTATCAAGCTCATTTAGGGATTAAACCCATATAAGCATTATATATCATCTAGAGGTGTACAGATACTACTATTTGAAGGTCGATCTGATCCGATATTAACGATATTAAATTAATTATGGCCGATTACCGATCCGATATCATATCGAATTTTGTATTCTGTAAACATATTAATCGTTTTAATTTTTAATACATCTAGTATTGTACAATCGCTCCATTTGAGCCGATTTTTAAAAACGGCTAACTCAATATTTTATCCAGAAAAAATATTTACATAAGTCTGAAGATTTTGTTCCTAGATGGCATAAAGGTTTGGACATCCATTGGCAAAATCTCGAGGCAGGAAATATTTTTACTAAAATATTGAATTCCGATGTTTTAAAAGCAGGCTCAAGTAGAACGATTTCGCATCACTCTACATACATATACACGTCTCAGATACTTTTTAATAGTTTATGATTTAACTATACCTAAACCTTTGCACCGATAAAACTATCGGCGGTAGACCTAATTTTCAAAAATCTAATTTTCGGCCGATTTTTAGCCGTAGTCAACAAAAGCGGCGTAAATCGGGGCAGTTAAATTTTTATAACATACATTTTTTTTAATTGCAAATTAATTTTTTTAAAAAAAATAAAATATACATTACAGATATATCGGCAAATTTTTTTAAATCTTTATTTAAGAGAAAACTCATAAATCCAAAATCGATTTCATAATTTTATAATTATCACATATAAAAATAATTTTATTTAAATTTTCGGGATATAATGACCATCTCCTTAAATTCAACGTCAACCCCACTGGTAAATCTATGACTAGCATGAAGAGATTACGAAGTTAACCCTTCGTTTGACTCCAGAAATTTAGAATATCCATTGTGAAGCGTTTTACGAATGTGACATTTTGTTCTAAATTACCTAACGTGGAATCATAATTATTTGTTGAATGTTTATTTGCCAATTTTGTTAAATAACTTAAATTAAATAATCCCCTTTGATCCTCAATCGATATATTTAATACCCGAATATTATCATTCTCTATAAGTTAAAGATGTTTAAATTTCTAAGATGAGCAATGTTCCTCTATTATTTACTTTGGGATCTAGAAGAGAAGCTAATACCTAGATAATCTTTTAAATTATATTATTACTTGCAGACAAATCGAAAATCATAAGGCAAGTTTTTTTTGTATATTTTTCTTAAGTGAAATTATTTCTAATTATCAAAATCATTTACTATTAAATGCGTTTCAATTTCACTTCTAATAAGTAGTGCCAAGTTAAATTTAGGCCCTTTTTGAAGAAACTTGACAGTCTTTTTGAATTTTTAAAGATGCTAATAGTTCATTTGAGAAATTTTCCACTTCTTTTCAAAACATTATTAATTAAATTCTTATTTAATCCAGATATGCTTTCTAGCATAATTAATATAATCTGCCACCTGGTTTTGCATTTGTTTTAAGGTTTTCATATTCGTGGAATTATTTTTATTATTATCATTGGAATTACCAACTTGAATATCGGTATCAGGGTCAGAGATCTTCATGGGGCCTTAATTTTTTGACCAAGTCCGGCCCAGGCCGCAGTAAAATTTTTTTTAGGCCTAAGCCCGGCCCGGCCCAGATCTAATGTTAAAAAAAATTCCCAAGTCCGGCCCAAGCCCGTGATATATTTCAAAAAAATTTCACAAACCCTGCCCAAGCCCGTATCCAAAAATTTAATTTTTTTTATTTAATGAAAATAAACAATATTTAAATATATTTAGGCAATCATTTTGTTTACAATACTGACATTTATTATTATTAGGAGGAAAAAAGGCAATATTTGTTTAAATTAGCAACTGTTTTAAATAATCTAAATTTAAATTTAATAATTTTAGCCCCAAGCCCAGCCCAAGCCCATTAAAAAAAAATTTAAAAATCCAGGCCCGGCCCAGACTCGCTAGAAAATATAATAATGGGCCGGGTGTGGGCCTGCTGGCAGGGTATGGATCAGTGCTGTCAAGATCTAACATATCTGATGTTTGATCTATTGTACCTAGGAATTTTCTTTGATCTGCCTATAATTCAAATTCAACCTCTGCAGTTTTATATCTTAGAGAAGTAATAATTTCTCTAATTCATTTGATGAGATTTTAAGTATAAAATACCAAAAAAGTTTTCACATTAATAATTTTTTATTTTAATTATTATTAGAATAAAAATGTATAAAATATGAAAAAATTTATGCCCCCACGTGATTTTCATAAACGGCGGCGTTTTCGGCGTAACCAAAAAAGTCTAACTATATCATATAAAAGTCATTTAAATATATTATAATAATCAGTTTTAGTTTATATTCATGAATCTAAAAGTATATAAAATATTTGTATTGATAAATCACTTTATATAATAAAATTAATTTATTTAAATAATAAGTAATAAAACATATATATTACAAAATTTGAAATAAATTTTTTAGAAATTAGAGGTCATCTTATCGGATCGAATCTGAATATTGTCTAATAACCGATATTTTAAAGAAGGTGACCCGATCCGATAAAATAATATCGGACATCCCTAATCTCATCCATAAAATGCGCGATCTAGAAGTTCTTAGAAGTTTTTTTTTAAAATTAGTTCGCTTCCAAAAAGAAACTTGCGCCAACATTTCCGATAATAATATAATGTATAATCTTTGCAATTGTGTGAATAACTTTTTATAAAAATTAATTTTAAAATTTTCTTTATAGGGTGAAGTAGGTTCGCAAGGTAATCCCGGAGAACAAGGACCAAGAGGAGATGTGGGCATGAAGGGACCAACCGGAGCTCAAGGCCCGCACGGTTTTACTGGACCTATTGTAAGAAATTATATATATTTTTTCTTTTAAAAAACTTAAACATATTTACTTAAACATTTTAGGGCTTACACGGACCTCAAGGAGCTAAAGGAAGTGATGGCTCACCTGGACCAAAAGTTAATTTGAAAATTATTTTAAACAAAAATCCATAATTAAAAATTAATTTTTTTTTAAAAAAAAATTTATGCCCCATATATTATTTTTAGATCATGAAAACTTTAGAAAATATTTTTAATTTAAAAAAAAATATAATATAGGGAGAAATGGGAGGACAAGGATCACAGGGTATAACAGGTTCACAAGGCCTCAGGGTATAATTTTTATTTCAAAGTTTTTGGTATACAATATAATATGAACATAATAAAATATATTTCAATGTATAATTTAATTTTTTAAAGGGATTTCCAGGATCTAATGGTGCGAAAGGCGGAAGAGGTGAAGCAGGCCCTAGGGTAAGTTTCATTTTATAAGATATTCTTAGAGTTAGAATTAAAAAAAATCTCATGAAATATTTTATCGCAATCAATTATATTTATTCTAACATATTGATTTTTAACTATAGGGTGAAATAGGAAGAATAGGACTTCCAGGTCCACAAGGTCCTCAAGGTCCATCTGTAAGTTTTATTTGGCTAATTTTTTACTATTCAAAAGAAATCTCATTAAAAATGAGATTATTTACGTATTTTATAAAATGTAAGAATAAAAAAAATTTTTTTCCTTTTAAGGTCAGATTAAATGCCGTTCATTGTCCAAAAGATAATTAATAAATATCATAACCTTTAGGGTATCAAAGGAGAAGCAGGTCCACAAGGTTCTAGAGGCCCTTCTGGGGCAAAAGGTTCTCCAGGTGAGATCGGTTACACTGGCCAGAATGGAAAAGACGGAGTTAATGGACCAGCAGGACCTCAAGGGATCAAAGGAGAAAAAGGCATAACTGGAGATTTAGTAAACTTTATATACACACAACAAAAGGGGAGTTGATTTTGATAATGCAGTTTTATTTTGAAAGGTATCATCTCCTATAAGTATAATGATAAATTATTTTCAGACTTCACTAGGGATTATACCTCGTGTTCTATATCAACACCATTAACATTAATACTAGCCTAGACTGACAACATTAATTCATTAAAAGCATTAAAAAGTGTACACGCATTAATTCCACTATTGGAAGGTGTGAAAGATTTACAATGAAAGGTCTTTCAGAGCGTCTACTACTGCCAATTACTGATTACAGCTAATTTCTATGTATAGGAGAGACCTATATTGTTTAAAAAATATTGAGAGGCTATAAAAAAAGAAGAAGTAACTTATCGAAATAATAATAACGTTGTTTTATTATTTATATATTTATCTACAGTAGAAATGAATATTTAAACACTTTCCTATTTTTCTTAATAATCATAAATTTAAAAGAAAATTAGTTATGAGAAATACAGAGGGAACGTTTTAGCCTTTAGTGGGGCATGTTTTAGCAGAATTTACCTGACCGGATAACACTATCCCCGGTTTTCCCTACACACCTTTAATCAATGAATTGCTAGTCTAGGATAATAATTAATGTCATTGAACAACACACATTTATTGTGAGATTCAAATATGATAATTTGAACATAACACTATGCACGACAGATCGAAATTAAAGGATTATTATATTTTCAAAAACAAAGTGAAATTAATTATATCTAGGGTCACATTCCTGATTTTTACTCTTTTTCATTGTTAAAATTTAAAATTACTCAGGTTCAATTTTCAATAAATTCAAACATGATTTTATAATTTTTGTAGGGTCCACAAGGATTGAAAGGACCTGCAGGACCAGTGGGAAAATCTGGTACTCCGGGATTGCAAGGTTTGCCAGGAATCAAAGGATCCCAAGGCTTTAGAGGCTTATTGGTACATTTCCATTATTTATCCCTAAGATTACCAAAAATTAGTCCTTATGAAATTAAATAAAATTATAAATCGGTAAAAAAATAATAAGACTCTAATGATTTTTGCATCTCAGAGTATTTTTGTATTATACTTGAATTTCTAACATATTTCAAATTTTTTATAATCCTAACTTACACCAAAAAAAATTATGATCAAAACTATAAAACAATGGTTAGGGAGAAACTGGAAAACAGGGCGCTAAAGGAGCTCAAGGAGAGAGGGGCTCTACAGGACTTCAAGGTACCGCGGGAGAACCTGGATTACCCGGAGAACAAGGAGCCCCAGTGAGTTATTTTCATATCCTTAAACATTTCATTTATATGTATATTTTTTACAATAAATAATGAATTTATTCAAATGACCCCCACAAAAAACGGAAAAAGATATATAGTTTAAAAAAAATGCTAGATAGTATTAGAACGTCGAGAATTGCCCAAATTATATATGTTACCATAAATTTTAGTTAATTCGTGTATGGTTAATGTTAAACTCATGAGACATTGAACCAATTAAATTCTGATACGATCGTCGAGATAACCAATGTTTATTTATATTAAAAAAATAGTCATTTTCGTTGATCTTCTGTGGTTTAGTCGGTTGAGTGCGTGTATCTCAACCCGATGTTTCTGGATAAGTATTCAGAAAGAACCACGTTTTTTTTCCGAAGCCAACTAGATGGTCTTGTCCTATGGGATATAATATATAATTTCGGAAGCTAAAGCGTGATTTTTAAATATATAAAAAAATGGGTGTCCAAAATAGTCTTTTAAAAAATTATTTCTGGTTAAAATATTGTAAATTATTTTAAATATAAATCGAATAAACAGTATTTTCAAAAAAATATAACTTAGTCATAAATAAATGTACAACTTAAATAAGAAGAATAAATATAGATGGGATGTGTAAAAGATATAAAATAATTAAATGTAAAAAAAATGCTGCAATCTGTTATGTTGATTTTCTTTTCTTCAAGTGACTGGATGATTTTGTTAATAATACTTTTGTTTAAAGTGCTAAAAAATAATACCTTAAACCCTTTTTTTTGGCGAATAATTTCCGTTGAAAGTCTATATGAGAGCTAATATTAGATCCACGAATTTACATAATATTTTAATATTTTTGAGAAATGAATTTAGGATTCAACTTATCAAATGAAACACTTTTCATAAATGGAAAGAATTTTTAAAATAAAGTTAGGATTCTCATTTTTTTGCCCTCTATAATTAATTTTTCCTCGTTTAAAATAAATAATAAATCTTAACCAAAAAGTAGGGTTGTTAAAGATTCAGTTCGATTTTGAAAACCGACCCCATTAAAATTTTAGCCAAAATAATATTATATAAACCTCGAGTGGTCTAAACCTATATGCCATCTATGAGCAAAATCTCCAGGCTTAGATAATATTATTTTGGCTAAAATTTTAATCGGGACGTTTTTAAAAATTGACCCGAGTCGGGCTTTTTAAACCCCCTACCAAAAAAACTATAAGTTGAAGTTTTGATAAAATGTATCAAAAAAGCATTTTTAAATAATAGAAATGGGAAGGTTTATTTATTTATATAATTGTTGTAATAATTATATTAATTTTCTTTTCACTATAAAGAATTTTAAGAAAGATTTTTAGAAATCTTTTTGTGTCTTCGAAAGTCTTAGATATTTACAAAGATTTATGATAAAATTGAGATCACGACACTTCAAGAACATTTGTATCAAAGCTAATTTTAAATAAATAATGCTTATTTATAATTTATATCAAATGTTTGAAAAAAACCAAATATAATTATTTTGCATGGTTTATTATTATTATTACAAAATTTAATTCAATCAATCACAATGACTTGGAAAAGGTGTATATTATTTTAAAAAATATAGGGATTCAGAGGATCTGATGGTCAGTCCGGGCCTCAAGGCTTGAGAGGTGAAACTGGAAGTCAAGGAGAAACAGGACCTACCGGACAACCTGGGCCACCCGGATCTATAGTTAATAAATGATTAATATATTTTTACATTTTTTTAAGATGATTGATATTTTCAGGTGTTCATTCCATATACTCCTCCTAATACCAAATCAACTTCAATAAGATATATGAGTTGAATAAATTTTTAGAATCGTTAGCATTTTTTTAAAACAATTTATTGGTGAATCAAGTTTGGGAAATCAAATATAAGTTTGGGAAATCAAATATTAAGGTTTTAATATTCAAAATGATGTTAAATAAATAAGATTGAAATATCAATTTAAAAAAATAACTTTAATATAAAGTGTATGAAAATTTAATTGATAAAATTTTAAATCAATTTTAAAGGGACCTATAGGAGGAACTGGAGCTGCTGGAACTCCTGGTGATAGAGGAGCCAAGGTAATATAATATAAACACATTTTATATCAATTTTATTACTCAATTTTTATAACTAAATAATAATTTCATGTAAAAAGATGTGTGTATATATATATATGATATATTTTATAAAACTCTTATTATTAGGGTGATACAGGTTTAACCGGAATACCAGGCAGAGCGGGACCTATAGGATCCCAGGTAATGAACAATAATTATGGTGTAGAAAAATCTTATGATAAAATTCTCCTTTTTTCATATAGGGATCACCTGGAAAACAAGGAACTAAAGGTGAAACTGGAGCGGAGGGAAAACAAGTAAATATTTTATTTATGTAGATTTTTTTTAGTCATATAGCCTCCTTTAAACACATGTAAATGGAAAAATGAATAATATAAAATTGCAAATGGTTACTTTGCCTTTGAAAAAGGGGCACTAATGTGACTTAAAAAAGATTAAATGATCCCATAAAAAATGTATCTTATAAATTATAAGATTGAAGAAAAAAAAATTGGGTAACTAATTGTATTTTTCTTTTCTTTTTGTAAAAAGGGTCGCAAAGGACACATGGGTCTAATCGGAATGACAGGAGTGCCCGGTCCTTCGGTATAAAATATTTTATAGTAATAGATTATAGTGTTGTGAATTGATTAGATTTCTGGTCTCGGAAATCTTATATTTTACAAATAATTCCCCATTTAAAGATTTTCAGCCATTTAACGCTTATATTTCTGGTATTATAATTTCCATAATATATTATGGTTTTCTCTTATTTATAAAATCCAAAATTGCCGATTCATTTTTTTTTGAAAATAAATTTCTTAAATATTGTCTCCAGAAAATTTCTGAATTAACAAAATATGAATTAGACTCTTCTTTTTTTTTTATTAAAAGGGTGAAGCTGGTCCCCCAGGAAAAGATGGAGCTCCTGGACCACCAGGAGTATCGGTAAAACAATATTTTATATTTAATTATTATTCTTTAAATAAGATTATAACACTTTTTTTTAAAATTCATTTATTTTATTATAAATTTATCTTTAAAAAAATTATCCAGGGAGAGAGAGGAGCAAGAGGACTCCCAGGCAGAGACGGAGAACCAGGTCTTCGAGGACCTAGTGGACCAATTGGCTTGCCGGGCTCACAGGGTGAATATGGGCCAAAGGTTTTTTTTATCATTCAATTATATCTTATCTCTCGCATTATAGAAGAGAAAATAAAATATTAGGGTTCATTTCATTCTAATAATCAAAACTTTGAGGTTATGTTTATCAAAAATCTAGTAATTTTTTTTTAAAAAAATCATTCTATATATTTTTTTATATTTTAGGGACCAATAGGAGTGAGAGGAGAACCAGGACTTCCGGTAATTTAATAAAAATAAACACATATTACAATTTAAAAAAGAAAGTTATATATATAACTACACAAGAAGTTTATATCATAATTATTTATAGTAGAGCTCTGCACCTGACGCATTTTTTTAAAATCAGGCTTGATCTGAGATCCGTATAATATTTCTACGAAAGTGGCAAAATTCTAAGAGCTGAATGGGTATTTGTCATGTTCATTCATAAAAATATTGAAAAAATAAAATACTTTATAATTTTGTATAGAGATCGGAATCGGGTTCGGAATACATTTTAAAATGATGGTATAAAGCCGATAGAATGTCTGTCCGAATCCGACGTATCCGAGTTCCGCCGTAGTCCATGCAGAGCTTTAATTTATAGGCAAAAATTTCAACATTTTATTCATGCATTCATCTTAATTCACCATCAATAGATAATGCAGCAGACTTTATAAAAATTAAGTGTAATAATAATTTTACCCCAAACCTCATTATGACTAAAATAATAAATTTTTATTCTATCTTATAATGTCATAATTTTATTCAAAAAAAAAAATATTTTAAAAATCTAGACAATATTAAAATATTTTGATAGTAAAATCTTGTCTTTATCGATTTAAAAATTTTTTATAATAGGGACCACCAGGAGACAGTTACTCTTTCGATGCCGCTACATTGGCCGCTTTATTTGCCCAATCTCAGACCAAGGGCCCACCAGTTTACGATCATTTAACTCAAGCAGACAGTCCATTTGTGCCAGTTCATGGCAGGAAGTCGTCTAGCGATAAAGACGGGAAAGATGCGCAGGCTGAACAGATAGACCCTTTCAAATTGATTGAACTATGGAACAAGGTCAAACTCGATTTCGATAAATTTGTGCGCAAGGACGGAAGCAAAGAGAGTCCCGCGAAGACTTGTAAAAATCTGTTTGCCAAGTTTCCCGAAAAGACTTCTGGTAAATAAACTGACGTTAATTATATCATATTGAGTTTCTTTCTGGAGAAGGTGATCTTTCGCTTCAGCTCGGTTCCTAACCCATTTTAAAAGGTCTTAGCATGAATATAATAATTACCCTATAAATTTCAGAACAATTTTTACGAGATCTGTATATCTGTCGAATATATTTCGGTTAAAATTTAAAAACTGCCTTCGTATATAAATTTAAAATTGAGAGATTCCGAGGATTACCACTCATTCATGGTTAACGCGTGTGGTTGAGAATACAAAAAATGCAGCGTATTTTTTATAATTCGCGGCGAATTCTAACTCTGATTAATGAATTAGTCAAAAATATTACAACTTGAATTTACTTATCTTTTTTAAGGTATGTATTGGATAGATCCCAATGAAGGATCTTCCACCGATTCTATCGAAGTTTACTGCAACCGAGAAACCTATGCGACTTGTATTTTCTCCAGTCCCAAAATGGTAATAAAAAATATTTTAAAACAACGGTGAACACATAAACAATATACCAAAAAAACAATTTAATAAACATTTCAATTACAAAAATCTACACAAAAAAAAATTGGTATAATAATTATAATTTAAGCTAATTTTTATTCTCACGACAGGCCTATTCAAAAACTCATATGCCCGAATAATAAATTATTCGTATTCGATTCTTTTAAACAAATTGAATAATTTTCTAAAATATACTAATCGAATAAGAGTATCCAAATTTATTATTCGTAATCTATACAAAAAGTAAATTACGAAAGAATCATTATTCGCTTCTTAAGCATTTTCGAATAAGGCCTGGTTTAAAATGATATGAAAATTAATTCGAGATATTCAATAATATTACTAATGGAAGGGGACAATAAACAAGGAACGGAGATAAAAATAATTAAATGCCTTAATTAAAATTATAACATTATTCTCAAACTAGTTTTATTTTTATTTTTTTAAATTCATATTTTATATTATAAGGTAAGAAAGGATCAACATTTTAGAACTAAAACTTCCAATCACGTGTGGTTTAGTAAAGAAATGGACGATGGATTCCAGGTATTAAATATAATATTTTGTAAATTGTTGCAAAAATATATCGAAAATATGAGTAGCGATTTATATGATATTCCAACTCATTAATTCATATGATTTAATATTTTAAAAAATTCGGAGCCCAGATTTTTTAAATCGCATTATTTTATCTTTCTGGGGTTGGGGTTAAATAAGCCACATTGGGGTGTGTGGGTTAAAAGTTTTCTTTTCACTATCTTATTTTTAAGGGATAGACAATGATGTGTATATACACCACTAGATTCGCGGCTCTTGCATCTAAAAGTGTACATACGTAGGAATTAGCTCTAACGCCATTTTTTGGTTTGCAGCCGATTTAAATGGCATTATGATAATGATAGATAAGATAATTAGTCGAAGTGCAAACCATAAAATGGTGCTACAAATTAATGAAAGGGATAGGATAACTTTTTTAAAATATTTTAACGGAACTATTAAGGCATAATTTTTTTTAACTTAAAATTACTTATTTTGTCTAATTTTCTATACAAATTAATACATAAAAAAATAAAGTTCACTTACAAAGTTGATCAAATCCAGTTAGCTTTCTTGCAATTACTCAGTTCCTCTGCCAGTCAAAATATAACTTACAATTGCTTAAATTCCATAGCTTACTTCGATCCCGTTAATGCAGATGCTCCTTATGAAAAATCCATAAAACTCCTTACCAACAATGATCTCATTTTGATGGCCAAAAATCACCCCAATTTCGAATACGAAATCATTCAAGATGATTGTCACGTAAAAACAAATTTTTCCCCTCAAATGTTATTTGAAAAGAAATATAAGTTTTGCTATAGGAGAAAATAACATCTTTCTGAGAATATCTATTTTAGAAGTTAAATAAATGGTGGTTAACCAATTTTATGAATTCTTTGCGAGAAACTTGATAATTTATATTTAAAAAATGGGAATATAAAAATATGGCACTAATAAAATTTATTTCTTTTTAAAAAAAAAAGATAAAAGACGGCAACTGGCATCAAACTGTGATTCATATAAGCTCTTCAAAAACTTCGAGACTTCCTATCCTCGATCTTGCAGTCGCTGACATAGGCGGACCTGATCAACAATTCGGTTTAATTATTGGCGACCCATGTTTCGTTTGAAAGAATAATTAAAACAGATTCACGAATTAACACCAGATATATAGAAAAGAAATTTATGACTAAATATTTTTTTTTATAATCATATTTTGCTACGAATTATTAAAATTAAATACTTATAATTATTTTTATACTTAATGAATTTTAAGTTGTATTTTTTTATAATTTTTTTTTTAAATTTTAAGAAACATATGTGACAATGATGCAATTAATACAAATTTTATAATAAAGCGACTTTAAAAATGTGTCTTTAAACTAAATATCTTATGCCGCATTTATAGTGGGATCCGATCCGACACGACTTAACAGCTGATCGAGTTTTAAAAATTTGTTTATGAGATCAATATATCTTTAATAATATTAATTTTAATCATTATAATAATCTTAAATAAAAATTGATCTTAATGAACCGATTTATAAAATCGATCCGCTTTTAAATCGTATCCGATTGGATGGCACTATAAATGCGGCCTTAAACATGATACCTTTAAAGAAAGTGTATAATCTAGGCTATTCTTTATATCGAGCAATTTTTCTTAATTTACAATCTGTGTTTCTAAAAAAACCCTAAAAACACAAACTAATACTAAATCTACCTAAACAAATCCTCGAAACTAAACCCAACCCTTCTAAAAAAACAACTATCAAAGATTATACGAAATTACAAATCAGAAAACCAAGAAAAACTAAATGACAATCCAAAATTTAAATAACTCAAAAGTCAATAATAATAAATCTTTATTTAAGATAATATCAATAATTTATATATTTTTCAAATTAATTCCAAAAAAAATAATAATAATTATAATATCAAATCTATATTATATAACTACAACATTACATAAAAAAAACACGTGATTATGAGTGACGTGTTATAATATACACTATATATATTTATAACTACAATTATATCTAATGTGAAAAAAATATATAATGTAAACGTATTTACAAATACGACAGTTTCAAAAAAGGTTGGAGAGATTTTCAATAAAAATGTATTCTATTTAAATATAAATACTTTTGAAAAGGATTTTTATAGTAGCCTATACATATAAGATTTTTATTTATTTATAAGAGTTTTACTAACCAGTCATCAAAAGTCAGAAATTTTGTAATTAATACAATCGGGTCAAAAAATTTGCAGTTATTCTATTTCACATTCGTATAATATAAAGGTACATAAAAAGCAGGGATGAGAACCCGAACCCTCGATATTTCGCTGAACCCAAACCCAAAACCTTTTTCACAGGGTCCAAACTTTTTTTTTAAAAAAATTTATTTTTTTATTTTAACTTACATTTTATTTATTTTAAATTATATGTTAAATAAAAATAATATAATTTAAAAAAACATGTAATTTACGATTTTCATTTATATAAGATTTCTTTTAAAAAGAGTTCCTATTTGAAACAATCGTTTTTTTTATTCAAAAAATATATAAATTTAAAAATAACATTATTTGATCATTTTTTCGTGCAATCCTTTTTGTTATATTTAAGTGTCGGCCATTTTTCGTAAAAATTTTTAAATTTTACCCAGCAAAGCAGATTTTAAAAGTTTTTTTATAAATGATGATTAAATGTAATAATATCTATCTAGGATAGATTAAGTAGTGTGGTTAAATTGCTTGGTTGGAATTAGCAGATTTTTGGTTGGGTTTTTGGTCGAAAGAATGAACCAGAACCAATCCAACCAAAGTCGACCAAATCCACAGACGAGCACCAAACCGAGCCCGAACAACCCGAGTGAATTAATTTTATGGTAATACTAAATAAAATAAATTTATAAAAAATGATGTTTCTGTAATGTTATATTCTGGTCACCGAACCCTGAACCTAAACCAGAACTCATTTTTTTGAAGGAGCACATCCTTGAGCAAAAGCAAATATATAAAATAATTTCTAATATATAATTGTGCTTTAATTTTATTATAAATTTTGCAAGATAGATTTTTTTATATAATATGATTGATCTTCTAAATATCAGTCCATCTAAAAAAATATGGACCTGATTTTTATTACTGTTTAGCTTTATATCATCAAATTCAATTTTTTTAAAAATATTTTTCTTGAGTAAATGAACGTCACACATTTCGATAAAATAGGATGAATTAGATGGGCTCGATTTTCTTTTTCTCTAACTTAGATCACAAAAATAATATTTAAATAAATTATATTATAATATAATAAAATAAAAAGAAAATAATGAATACTATTTATTTTAAGCATTTAAAATACAAATACTAAAGAAAGACTCTATAAGTTATTCAAATAAATACTAATTATGAATACAAAAAAGTATTTAAATTTAGCATTTTAATTCAGGATTGGCAATCCTGTTAATTGACGGGTTAAATCAGGTCAATTGACCGGTCAAATACTCTAAAATATTTTATCAAGATCGAGTAATTATTTAATTCTCAGGTATCTTTTATTTAAAAAAAATGTTAAATTTTTTAAAAATAAACATATACCAACTGTAGTACCTTCCAGCTACAGAAATCAGCATGCCATATCATCACAATTAAATATAATCAGTTTAGCAAAGTGATCTTTTTTAATAAAATGTGCAACAAATTTTTAAAATCGTCTGTCGTTGAAGAAACTTTGTGTGATATATGTCCAATAGAATAATTGATCATATATAGGCAACTAACAATTTTGGATAAAAATAAATGATATCTTTGATAAACAAAATTGGTGGAATGCGGAAGAATCTACAACCTTAATCAAATTTCGGCAACAAGCTGCTCGAAGGGACTTTTTACACATAGCCCTTTAAGGGAAGTAACAAATATCTTATTAATCCTTACAATTATCAACTTATTCTTCAGAAAGAAATTGGTTCGTATGAGGTAATTTTCATACAAAGAACCGAAATTGATTAAAAACGTTGACTTTAGTGTTAATAATAATTTATGATTAATATAAAACATAAAATAAAATGATCATTAAATTGAACCAGAAAACATTAGAGAAAGTGGAAACTAAATAATATTTCAAGAATGAATCAAATTAACAGATATAATATAAAGTGAATACTGTCATAAAAATTTTTTTAATTGAATTTGACCGATCAAATAACCAACCCTGTATTAAATACAAGTATTAGCTATTCTATCCAACCCTTGTTTCAAGCCACATTTGCTATTTTCAAGTTGGCGGTATGTAATTTATATTTAAAAACACAATGGCTTTACCGATACATTTTTATTGTTTACATGAAAAATTAATCACCATGGTTTTAGAAAGAAATAAACAATTCCAGTTTTGCACATTAATGCAACAATGATTTACCTAATTAATGATGAAGAAGCCATTATTTCACTAAATTTTATTCTCAATGTATAATAGAGGTTAGCGCGATTCAGTTCGGTATGTTGGGCAGAAAGGTTTTTGGGGTTCACTGAAGTTAAAAGCTGATAATTAGGCAAATTTATGTTGTTTTCCTTCATAAAAAATTACGAACCGGTAAAACTTGGTAGAAATTATTTTAGAGGCCAGAAAACCAAAATAATTGTACATTCTAATTCAAATATCAAGATAAAGGATTGAGAAAGGAAACCTAATTAAATTATACTTAAATATCTCGACAAAATTTCAAAATATGCATTTTATAATTAAGAAATTATTTGGTATTTAAACACTAAATTATGGTTTTTTAAAAAAATACCCTGATAGATCAATGACAATTCTTATAAAATATATATGGCAAAATAGGCATATATATAAGGAGTTGATGAATACACCAAGGCTTCTTCTAAATTGGCGAAAAATTATATTTTTACAAAGACATTCTTTTTTTATTATATAATCGTGCCATTAATCCATTTACAAAATACCTTTAATTTTATAAATGTTAGACTTTGAATAAACCAATACAGGTCGATTCTCCCTTCTCTCTAAGATTTCTAAAAAAAATTCTATTTTAAATGTCATAATTTTTGTCCTTGAACCCTTAGGAAGGCATTCTCTAACTTTTGATTTTTAAAATGGCGTTACCTTTCCAGTTATCTAAAATCTGGCACTTTACGGTGTTTCAGAAGTATATGTGAGAGGAGTAGATGTATGCATTAAAAATTAAAACGATTAGTATACTAATATAAAATCAGATCGACCTCCGAAAAGTGGTATCGATACTTGAATGCAATAGACGAGTATAGCTCGCCTAGGGTTTTTTTTAAATAAGGCCCGTGGCGGGCGGTTTAAAAATATTTTTAAAATAATGGGTGGGCGTGTGCGCTTTCAGGAAAAATGAGCAGAACAGACTTCAATTTAATAAAAATAATTATTTCATAATATTGTATATTATATATGTTTAATTAAAAATATATTTAAAGAGCCAAACTTGGTATTAAAACATTACACGGGCGGGTTAAACAAAATTTATAGATTATTGGGCGGGCAGGTAAATTTTTATAAAAAATCATCTAAAAAAAAATTCAAAAATGAGTGGGCGGAATTTTTGACCTCTAATCGATACACTCCTAATAACTAGGAAAAAATATGCATAGAAAGTTGGGGATAACATTTTAAATTAGATTAAAAATAAACGAGTGGTGCATTTTAAACTTTCATTTTTTTTTATTAAATATATATACTAATAATAAATATAATATATTATTGATATTGTGACATTATAAGCCGATAATTAGATATAATCATTTTTATTAAAAAAGGTATATTTTTAAATTCCAAACAATTTTTAAAAAAAAAATTCATAAATAGAATTTACACAATTTTAATAGCGAAAATATAAAACTGCCTCTTTTATTATGCTAAATTATATATTATTAATTATTATGTTATAAAACTATATATTATTTATAATATTTATATTTTAGGTTTCGGTATTAAAGGACTCCAATCATTAGATACCACTTTTTTTTATAAAAAAATATATTTTTAATGGGTAATATCCAAAATGATTCCTTGATATCAGCAGATTCTAAGCATCTGCTAAATCATTAAATTAGTATGCAAACAAAAATGGGTGCAAAAAACATAGTTTTTGTTATTTAAAAAATGGGAATTATACATTATAAATGTAAAACTATTTGTACGCGATTTCAGTTTTTAAAATTAACGAAATGTTTATAGAAATCTGACTAAAATTATTTTTACCTTTTTTTTTAAATATATATATTTATTTGTAATATATTATTATATAAAAAATTTTAGTCACCGTAGTTTTAAATAATATTATATTATTAATTATTTCTTAAAAAAGAAATAAATCGTGTTAGTCTAATTTTACCGGATAACACGCCGTTTATAAAGCTTCTCAAGAGACCAGATATAAAAAACGATAAAAGCGAAAAAGATTAAAAAATATTTTTTGAATTCAAAACTTTTTGATTTTTTGGATAAAAAAATTTTCTATGAATAGAAGGAAACATCAAATGCGGGGAAAAACCCCCAGACCTAAAAAAAATGTAAATGAAAATTGAAATTTATAAAAAAAAATCTGATAAAACAAATATTTTTTTAAAGAATTGATCCCTATCATACATTTAGTATAAAATTATATCGGAAAAATCCTTTTTAGCCCTAATTATTCGATAACGCAACTAGAATTATATCTGTTGATGTAAGAAAAACAGGAAGGAGGGTTAGTCATAAATTTCGAAAAATCATTAGAGTTCGATTTCTTAAGATCTACTTTGACAGAAGCGGCAGGTTTAAATGTATTAAGGCCGTTGTTAGATCTTTGTAACCTTCGTAGCCTATGCATATTGGCGTAAAATGCGTCTATATTTAGCACCCGAGGTTTCCCGTTGTTAGTTTGCCTTCCAGGGGTGTAATAATTTTTATAACCATTGGTGAGAACTTTCGAAGTGTCTCTACAAATTTTATTTGTCGCGTTATGATTGCCATCGCCTTTGCCATGGTTATGATGCGTTATAAAATCTAAGGACCGCATTGTATCCTTAAGTCTGTCTATTGTTAGGTTCGATTTTCGCCCCCTAAAATAATTATTTTGCGCAGCGAGAGAGGGAATATAGTATAAATTATCGAAATTTCGGTTAAGATGATCGAATTGATGTTCTTCCAGAGTGCTGAGTGAATCCAAAGAGCTAGTCGATTTAGATACATGTTTATCGAGGTTGTCACTTTGGGAGGTAAACAGAATAGAGGCCAGGCCCATAGAATGGTAATTAGCTTTGTAGTTTTTAGAAGGAGGAGCGAGACACATTGATGTTATGGCGGAATGTGAATCGATGGCATCATTGTCGGTGTATTTGTAACTTTTATCATTCTTGAGCGTTAGCAGCGAAGAATTTAAAAATGATTTGCGTGGTCTGGCTAGAGCCTGGAAATTCTTAGAGCTAAAATATTGTTAACAATTTTTATATAAGGTTATTATTAGTGTTGTTAAACTGCTGGATTAGAGCCGATTTTAAAAACGCTGAGCTCAATAAATTTAGAAAAATATAAAGATTTTGCTGATAGATAACACAAAGATTTGGACATCTGTCAGCGATATTTCAAGGCATCGGGATAAAATATTGAGTTAGCCATTTTATAAAATCAGCTCAAAAAGAGCCGTTTAACAACATGTCAAATACTTTAAAAAAACGTAATAAACAACTAAAACATTAAATTCAAAACACTTTTTAAAATGAAATAATCTTTCCCTTCTTTTTTCCCTCTTTCCATCAACAAATTATAAAATTTTATTCCGTTTATATACATATTCGGCCTTTTGTTTTAAATACCCATTTTTATTTAAAAAATTATCATTAAAAAAATTAACTCAAATGTTTGCTTGAGAAAGGCTTCCCTTTCTTCCTTAATATGAGTATTGAGCCAAATATGGGTATAATGTTTTTGTTCAGTCAGGTCGGTGAGGGAAAACGAAGAGTTCAAGGGCAAAGAAACGCGATTCAAAATGCCTTTCTTTAAAGAATCGTCGTGGAAATGGTCATTATTCATGATTTGAAGTTGATTATCTATCCTATTCTTATGCGGTTTATTGTCTTTATGGCCTGGTGGAGTGAGCGGAGTCAAGGAATTGGAGGCCAAGGTTTTCCATTTGGAAAGTGTGATGGATCCTATAACAAAAAATTATGATGTGATCTATATAATAAAGATGGAGGATAAGGTAAATTTATTCAAGCACTCAAATACTTTTTAGAAAAGAGGGAGTTTGTTTTTGTCATTTAGAACGATATATAAATTTTAGAAATAAATGTGTTTCAATTGCCTCAAATATTTTCCTATCAGATAATGTACAATAATAATAAAAATCGATCTGTATATACGCATCACATTTTTTGGGGGAGGGCCTCCTTTGATAGTGAGATTTGATCGTATTTTAGCCCACTTTACGTCAAAATGGACGATATCATTATTCATAAAAATTTATTAATATGAATTTATATGCAAGTATATTATTCAATTTTTGTATTTATTTAATATAACAAATAATTCCAAGTAACTATTTAACAATATTTAAGATATAATCTTAATTTATGGCTATTAAATAAGTCAATCTGAAAATTGGGCGAATTTACGATCAAGGTTAGGCAAATTATTTTTTTAATTAGTATTTTTTTTTTCAAAAAAGGAGTAAAAATACACATACTGTTTACCTTCCAAAGATTTAACTAATTTCAGTTTGCGCAGGTAACTCATTTTTTTTGAGTTTCCAACTAGCTTTTCAACGGGTTTAAGGTGAGCAAATTTATTGTCGTATTCCGAAGCTGATTTTTTGACCATTTTATTGTGCGTGATATAATTATTATCTGCGGCTAATAATTTTTGAATTATGTTATATAAATAAATAGGAAGCTAAAATGTAAAAAAATAAATAAAAATAATGGATATTATAAGTATAGTTTTTAAACATGCTTAAATTTCAAAGACAGCCGCTCATAAATAAATACCAACCAATTTCAGCACACCCTCATATATACTGAATGGGATCATGCCACCTAGTTAAAATTGTAACAATCATATTTTATCACAAATGTATACTTTTGAAGGGAGTTTTTTAAAAATTGTAATAAGGGTTAAAAAACTAAGAATTTGACCAAGGTTGACTTTAATAATCAGGCGATAAACTGAAAAACATCTAGAAATGCAATATTTATAATTATATGGGCTGTCATTAAATGAAATTTGAATTGTTAATACTTAAACATTTTCGAACAAAAATTCCTTGTAAATAAATTTTTATCGATTGTTATAAATAATATATTATAATAAGAGGTAGTAGTTATAAAACATTTATGGTCACAAAAATCTTCAGATGCGTTTGATAAAGCTTGACAAGATATAGAAGAGGAAGACTGTGACAATGTGCTGTCATAAGTAAAATCAAGATACCTAGGGATCACCGGTTGATTGAAATTGTCGGAGTTTGGTAAGAGACTTTGGACATTTCGTTTTGGGAGGCAAAGTGTTTTTTAAAAAACAATTAAGAATTTATAAATATGGAGGTGAATTTTATATATTCAGACCTGCAAGTCCAGAACAAAGTCAACTGGGTATTATAAGAACCAGGCTATAAATATTATAAAAATTATAAGCCCGGGCTTTTACAAAATCCAGGCCAGGACAATTTAAAATTTTTTTATCTCAATTAATCAGTTAGAAAAATATATAAAATGGAATATTTAATAATCATTTACTACTCATACTTACAATTTCCCTTTGAAATAAGTTACAAGATATAGCCAAAATCTTAAAAATTCCAGCATATTAAAAATACTGGGCCGTGTTTGAAACTATTTTTTTTCAAATCCAGCGCTAGGTCTAAATTACTAACCTAGACAAGGATCTCTGGTATTTTATCATATGCCTCATATGTTAAATATATTTGAAAGGATATGAATAGTATTAATATAATTGGCTAGTAGTGTTGTTAAAAACCTCGATGAAATCGGCTAAAGATTTCCGCCAAATAATAAATAAATATCTAAGCTTCATGATTTGGCCAGAATAGAATCAACCCTTCCTCATTAAATTTTAAGGGCTATAGTTAATACCATTTCGGCTAATATCTTGATTTAACCGCTTTTAAAAAAAATAAGCGAAATAGACGTTTTAAACAAAATAATAGTAATTTTTTTACTTATTAAATTTGTAACTTTGACGCAGTGGAATTCTGTTGATGGAAGACCTATCAGAGTTTATTTTTTTAGAGTAATAAGCATGTTAACAATATTACTTTAAATGGAAGACTTTAACAAAAATTTGCAACATTTAAAATATATGTTATATATATATTATAAATTTACTCATATCCACTTTCTGCTATAAAATTGAGCGTTTCTTGATTGGGTGATGATGACTCGAAAGGCCTAAGAACAAATTAAATAAAAAATATACTAGTATATACCTAGACCTGCAGGCCTAGCCCTAAGCCAGGCCTAAAAAATTTTTTAAAAAAAATACCCGAGCCAGGTCGTGTATTTTAAAACCAAATATTTTAAATTTTATTATTAGCTATAAAAATTAAATACATTTTTAAAAAACCGGGCAGGGCCTAAAAATATAAAACCCGAAATTTTAATTTAAAAAAAAATCCGGGTCGGGCTGTGCAAATGGTACCTCTGCAGGTCTCCGATATATATATATATTATATAGGAAACTAATTGATCTAAGTGCAGTAGTTGGAAATGTTAAAATAAAGAAAAGTTACATTTATAAGATTTCAGACTGCTAAAATGCGAGGGGGGGGGGGGGTTAACGAGATTGTTCAAGGCAGTTTATATTCAAAAATTTAAATCTACATGTTATTCATAAATTTTGCTTGGTGCTTCTTTGACCATGAAAAGAGACAGAAAAACAAAGGTTTCAGTTGTCAAGACGCCGTACTTGCCTTGCGCATATCTTAGTTCGAATCACAATCACGCCAATGTTTTTAAAAAAGAAATTGATATTGGATGTGAAGTTCACCATAAACAAAATAAGCTGATAACTGGTCAATTACTTTTTAAAGACGCAGATTTCTGTTTGATTACACCAAAATACAGATATGGGATAGGTTTAGATTTAAATTATAAATAAATGGCTGTTATATTACCGACCTTTTTATATTGACCAAATTAAAATAAAAAACATTTTGACCACTCAAATTTTGGACGTTGTTTAACAAATTGTATTTTTTTCTAAAATCTACCAGATATTTGAGCCTTTACCGGTAAATCTTAAGTATTGGGGTCTCGCCGGTTCTATAAAAAAGACTATAAATTGCGCTCTTTTAATTCTGCTTCAAAGGGTATCCAAGTCATTACCCGAAGTTTCCATTATTTATATAACAATTATTATCGTACATGTTACAATCTACGTGAGTGGATGATGCGTTTCTATCGGCATCGTTGCCAAACATTTCAACTTCATTTTTCGAGGAATTTATCAGTGAGCAATAAAAGCAGCAGGCTTTCGATTGGTCGTTCAATGTATTGGGATCGGTATGTAATGTTTCGTTCCTGGCGTTTTCCTGAATAATGTGTAGCATGGAAGCGGCTTCCTTGTATCGAATCTGCATGTCCAATAACTTTGAATTGTTTTTCAATGAATATTATTATAAAACTATTTAAAATGAAAGCTAAATATATGGTATCACCTTATTTGCAAGTAATTAAAAATAACCATTTTCCTCCACTTTTATGCCTCTCAATTCTCATAAATAAAATAATTTTTTAAAAAAATCTAAACCTGTTTGTTGAGATCTATTTGGTAGTTTTCCGATAATATAAGTTTACACTTGAGTTCTTCCATATTTTTGCTCATAACTTTCTTTTCGTGCTTGGAAATTTCTAAATCTTTGATCAAGGAATCCAATTCTTCCCTTTGCTCTGCCGCGAAATTGTCTTTTGTTTCTAGATCAGCTAATAGCGTTTGAACTTTGGCATTCCATTCGTCTTTTTTTTTTTTAAAAAACTGGTTAAATAAAAAGATATAAATGGAAACACATAATATTTAAAGTAATATATTTTTACAAGAATCTATTTTTAAAAAATGCTTTACTGAATTGCTGGACGAAATCATCGACCAATTCCAACTCTCTATTTTCAAAATCGTTTACCGTACCGCCTAACTTGCGAGTCTGATGGTTAAAAAATAATATGTATACCCCGTAAAATTCATATTTTAACTAGAGTGATGAAACCTGTAAAGTATTCGAGTAACGTTTCTTCAATAGAATTTCAAACCTTTCTGCCATCGGTGGTCAAAATTTACTTTTAGCTAAGATTGAGTCAGCCATTTTTAAAAATAGGCTAAATCGGGCCGTTTAAAAACAAAACTTAAAATAAAGTTATATTTTCTGAGGATATAGATCAATAATCGTATTTTATTAAATAAAATTAAATTTGCTTATTTAGGGTTCATTAAGAGAAAAAAAATGAAATTGTAAGAAATGTGTTCTTTTAAGGTTAATAAATGTTTTAAAAAAAATTTTGAGGGGGGTGGGGAGGGGGTGATAGTTGTTGCAGTGAACTATATCTTGATAACGTGATCATCGTTAAAAAAACTGATGATTAACACACTGATTGGAAAGAAAGTTCTGGCTAAAGGCACGAAGTAACATTATTTTTGAGGGGAATCCTAACTACCATGGAGCCTACCGCCTCCTCATGTATGTACACTTTTAAACGCTTTTTTATGAATGGAAAAACCGACCACATTCATTTAAATAAGACTATATGACATCCAAAAAGATCTAACTAAAGTGCATTGATCAACCAAAGATTAGTATGATGGGCGTATAAACCATAGATATTACTGTTTAGCAAAGAGAGAACACCGAAGCGAATGCCTTATCTCGAAACTTTGGATATAATACTACATAACAAATTGATAATGATTATATAGCACCATAAATTATATAGGGTTACCAAATTTAGAAAGAAAGAAACCCACAGACAAGGCAGAAAAAGATATCATATTACGTAAAGTGAAAATATTAAAAAAATAATGATAAACGTAACCAAGATAGCAAGCAAAATCGAGGAGTTACAAAGATAAAATTGAACAGGTGATAGTATTTTATTTTGGAACGAGAGTATAATCCCTTAAGATATCCAGATATCACGGCTTTTAAATCAATTCGAGACATTATGTATTGGTTTAAAATGAATAATATTGAAAATTTGATTAAGGGGGTCGGATGTCAAACATACCGAAATACCAGTATACTCTATTAAATTTCCGTCATAAATGTTAAGGAGTAGATTTGCTTTTATAAATTTGCCGATGGATTAAAAATGATCGACTAAAAAAGATAACAACAGACACTCCTGTAAAAAAATTAGAACGTTAATTTAACACGTATGAAATCCCACTAGTAATGGACAACGAACTGCAAATTAATCTCAAACAATTTTGCTCTCCTCTGCAGAAACTCAATCATTCAGCCCAAAAATACACCCTCTATCAGAAACAAATTTTTCGAAGAAAAGAGTAGAGATCAGCATGGGCAGACCTAACCCGGGCCGTGAACAATTTTTAAAGTTTTCGGCCAGAGTCGTATTTTTTTTGCTCGGAGAGTAAAATAATTTTGTACAATTTACCCAGCCTTCGGGTCAAAAAAATCAGTATTTCGCAAATGGCTAACAAGATAAAGATGACAGCAGCAACGGGTCGAATATCTAAAAATTATTTTGTCGGCGACTGATAATTTTTTTTTAAAAAAACAATAAATACCAAGCCTTTCATAACTCATACACGTTGTTACAAGCAAAAGTCGGGTATTCACAGATAAATCCACATCGAAAGGATGATACAAAGAAATAGTTGTAAAATAATGGAAAAACAATTGAAAACAGGCTGACCAAGAGAATGAGATAAACACTCCGAAATAGAAGAAGCAATGTTAACTGGAAAGGCTAGGAAATAATTAAACAAGTAACTCTTGGACTAAGTCCAATGTTTAGCAAGCTCTACGCCCGAACGAAGATACACCTATAAGAAGGTGAAATAAGCCCGAGGAAAATAATGAGATGTCGCATAAAATATATTATTATTCTTCTAGTGCATAGTGTTTAGAATGAACAATCGAGTCTGTTATATTATTATTCTTTTAAGTTAACTAATAATCTTGGATTACTATAAAAGTACTATGGCTTCAAATTTTTAAATATAAATATAATTGCAGTTCCTCGTTTTGGGAAAACAATTAACTATTGTATAATTATTTTTCTTTTATAATTTAAAATATTATGTATAAATTTTTGTAAATTTTTTTAATTAGAGATATTTTTATAAAAAATATTTCGTTAGATAATTTCCAAATTTTTTTTTTAAATTTGAAAAGTTTCAAAATTTGCAAATTTTTATGAAATCGTGTGTCAAATTTTTGAAATTTATAAAATTTTCTAGAATTATGTTTTGATGTTAGCTTTATTTATTTTCTAAAATTTCGAAAGTTTGTGAATTTATTTTTTAATATTTTTGACACAGGCTTAATAAAAAAATCATTCTTGTCAATAGTAATCCAGACATAGGAAAAAAAACTTTATTAGTAAAAATGGAACAAAAATTTGACGCTAAAGTAAATAAAGATGATTCATTATAAATTTTTGTCGGTCTATGAGAATGAGATAGTGCCAAGGCCCTACATTATTGACAAAAAATACCAAAAATAATTTACCTCGATTTGTAAATGTTCATTTTCCTTCTCCAATCTAGAGGTTTTTTCCTCCAAGAGTTTTAATGATTTATTGTAACATGGAGAAGCGTAGAGGCTATAATTCCTATCCATATTATTGTCAATCGGACTTTAAAAAATATAAATAGATTATTAGGATTAGGAAATTCATACAATTTTTCTAAAATCGAATATTACAACATATTAGAGGTAGGTGTGCCTCATAACTTGTGCTAAATATTTGAAATGACCGGGCCGGAATTTCGCAAAATTTATTTTAACACTTATAATTAAAGCATATTTGTGTCTTTTACTTTCATAAAAAAAATATTACTAGCAGGACTGGAATTTCGAAACTAGCACCCCCATAATATTTATATTCTTAATATAAATAATTCCGATGGGTTTTTTTAAATCCCTATACAAATAGAAGTGATGACATTGGCTTATTATCATCGGCATTGCCAAAATTTGCTCGCGTTGATTCTCGAAGAATTTTAAGTTTCGTATAACGTCTAACCATTATTTTTACTTTTTTTACAACCATTTAGAATAGTTAGGAGTTCAAAAAGAAGCAAACTATGATATTATTTTATCTACCCTGAAGTCGTCATTTTTAACTAGTGTCAAATCGTAATTTATGAATAAAATATTTGCCAAATTACCTATAAGTGGGTGATTGATCATTGTCGTCGGAAATGTATATCTGTAGCATCTTGTCCTTGCATTTTAGCTCGTATCTCAATTGTGATATCTGTATTATAAAAAGAATTTTTTCAGTATATAAATTTTTTTTTTCTATTATAAGAATTAGTTTATTTTGACGTAGTTATAAATAATATAGTAATTTTGCCTGAGATTTTTGAGTCACCTGTGATCTCATATAAAGAATGGTACTCTTTGACAAACTCAAGCTTATCAAAATTTGGGGAAAGTTTTTGAATTCCGAATAAAAAATTTCTTAATGCTAAAAAATTTAAATAGTTTCCGTTATAATGGTGAAACCTATATCTCCCAAAAATAAAATTACGGCGATGGTGCAGTCGTAAAAGTTAGTATAAAGATACTCATTATTAAAAAATTATCTATTATTATAGAATATATTCTATTAAATAATTTTCTACTAGGTGATAATATTTAAAGTTTTGGTATAATTAAATGCAAGCAAACATGTTTATATTTACAAATTAACAGTTTTAATCTTTCATTTAAAATTTTATATTTATATTTATGTTTAAAATTAAAATATAATATTTTTTTTAAAACAGGTAAGCGTTATCTATGTCAACTTTAACTATAGAATAAATATAATTGTGGTTAATTTTTCAACCCACTAACAAAACATGATTAAAAATGAAGGTATAACTATAAACATAATAATTAAACAATCAATTTTCTTTTGTTTTATACAAATGTGGTTTTTTAAAAAAAAAGAAATTAGTTTTATTTTTGTGCCCATACCCATATAGGGAACAATTTTTTGATTGCATAGGGTATTCCATCTTCCTTAGCAAATAGCCCCGTTTTCGCAAATATAATTTATTAAAAAAAGTATCTATTACCCTACATTCCCCACTCTGTCCATCCACGAAAATAAAAATATCATTAAAAGTAATAATCTTTAGTAAAATAAGGATGAATTAATATTTTTTTATAAAAAATAATGACTAAAATAAATATCTTTATAGAAAAAGGTCTACCGTGGAGTAAAAGTTAAAAAAATATTCATAACCCTTCACTAGGAAAAATTGTAGCAACATCTATGTGCCTTTACCTTAGATTCCAAATATAATGATCACTTGGTCCCTGTAGATCCTTTAAGATGGCATTATTGGACGCTTCAAAATATATATATTTCTAATTTTTGAATATAAAACGCGAAATCAAACCGTTTCATTTGCAATAATCAATTGCTCTTCTAATGTATCGTTTTGATTTTGCAGTTGCCTGATCCGAGCAATTAAAGTTTTGCCAATCTTAGCGGCCAGCTCCAAATCTCGTTCTTTCTGTAAATTTATGATAAATTATGACAAAAAATTATTCGGACAGTTTTCTTTCTTCCTTCCCTTCTTTCTTTATTTCTTTCATTTGAAGAAAATAGGCATTAACATTAATTTCTTTATGGGATGCATTTAATTTAAAAAGGGCGGATTAAAAACTCATTAAAAATATTATCCAAAAAATTAAAAAACTTCTTCGAGCAAATGCGCGACCGCTTCAAAATCGTTGTAAGTTGTCGTCATGCGTACACTTCTTTCGCCACTTAAACCTTACAATTAATTGTTAGGGTATGAAAATTAGCATAGTGATAATTGAATAAAAAATTAACATAAAAGGGTAATTAAAATTCAATTTTATCTTCTTTTTTTAAAAATGATAAATTTATGTTTTGGCCTGCAGGACAAAAAAATATATATTTTCTTTAAAAATAAAATTTAGATCTTATATAATAAATTAGATATTTTGTTTATTTTTACCGAATAAATTGAATGTTTCTTCCAAAAGGGTTGTATCGGAGAGGCCGAATAGTTGTATGTCAGATTCCTCAAAATTTTCCAAAATTTCGCAGTTCCCTTCTAAACTTTCGCAGCGTTGGAAATTCCTTTTTTCTATTCTTCCTCTTCTTCTTCCGCTTCCCGTCCTTTCCCTCGCTCTGAAAGACGAAGGAACGGGTGAGCTATCACGGGTAGAATCGTGAAATTTTTTACCCCTGTTGATGGCAGATGGGTTATTAGTATTGCTATTCGAAAAATCGCGGGTATCAAAGATGGAGTCGAAAGATTTTGTCTCCGAATCGATATCTGTCTCGGACGAATTGCTAAATCTTAGTTTGTATCTGAAATGGGAAAAAATTTGTTTCAAGTGAAAGAAAATCGTTTGAGAATGAATAAAAACAGTATTTTTCAATGAGAATTTAACTATTAATCCTTACAGATGTTAATAAAATATAAATACAAAATAGATATTATTAAGGGTAAGATGGAATATTTTGGTAAGGGCGATGGGTTCTCATGAATGAACTTGGATCAACATTCGAACTGGTAACAAATAAAAAAAATAATGATTATCGATAGTTATTGATTCAATCAATCTTTATAGGTTTTTTTTCCAAATTAAAAACATCTGACAAAATAAATTTTAGAAAAAAAATATATATCAGATATTAGATTTTCGAAATCGAAAATAATAAAATACGATAAAATGTCACATGAATCATATGATATTAATTTAAAGTTCTAACCTTACTGTGAAATAATTAGAAAATTGTACTATTGAATACCTAAAAATTCGAGATTTCAAAAAAAAATTATATATCACGAATTTACAATAAATTTACAATATGCGACATAATGTTATTACCCTTGAATCACGGAGATAAAGTACTTACTCTTTCAAAAAAAATATCAAGATTTGTATTTTTTTAATATAAAAATTTCAATCTACTTACATCAATTATTGTCAAATAGATGAATGTATAATAAAATCAAATATCATAATACTATGCGTATAATGAGGATTAAATTGAAAATTAATTAATTAATTTTTACAAATTTTTTTTTAAAAATATTATAAATTTAAATATTTTAAAATAATTATAATATAAAAAAAACTTATTTATTTATTATTTTCAAATTTTTTTTTTTAGAAATAATTTTCATTTATGACAATTATATTCTTTTTACCTTTTTATACTTATTATCTGTTAGGTAGGTGTCAGAGATAAGGTAATTTATTATGTAAATAAGAATATTTTGTTTATAATAAAAAAAGACATAAAAAAGATAAATTATAACGTTTCTAGGAACGTTTAAAAACGTAAAAAACATTTTTTTAATAAAAAGTAAAAAAAGATTGAAACATGTGGTTATAATATATTTTGTCTGCCAACAAAATAAGAATTATTTTATAGCCTTTTTAGGGATCAGCCAGAGTTTTAAAAAAAAAATCATAAGAAAACATGAAATATTTTTTTAGGAAAAAATCGCAAAAGAATGATGATATAACCGAGTAATGAAAAATGTGGCTTACACAGATAATTATAAAAGATATCTTTTTTATACAAAGAATGATTCGGAATTTTAAGTTAAAATTTGATCAAAGATAAATTGTTTGTGCTAGTGTTGTTAAACGGCGAGATGCCTATTTTAAATTAAGATTTAAGCCAAAATAATATTACGTAAGCCACGAGATTTCGTTAATAGATGTCCAAACTTTTCTGCCACCTATGAGCAAAATCTCCAGATCTGCATAATATTGGATTAACAATTTTAAATGAAGCCGTTTAACAACACCTGTTTGACGAGCCTCCTCAACAAAATGTATGAAGAAGAAAATTTAAAATTCTGGATCCACAGATGTATCCATGTTCAGCAGGTCCAGGGTTTGTAAAAAAAAAATTTCCTGGCCCGGATTTTTAAAATTGATCATAAAAAAGAATAATATTGTTAGCATTTTGTTGAATGGTTTCAAAGGGAAGTAGAAAATAAAATAATGATTAGTGATCTGCATCGGGCCTAATTTTTCAAGCCCGGCACGAAATTTTTTTAAATAGAGAAATTAATTTTTATAATTACTCAAAATAAAAGACATATGTTATATGTCGTTTAGTTTCAATAAATAAAATCAAATATTTTTATTTTACATAGAAAATTCAATATAAAATTGATAAATTTTAAAAAATTTCCAAGGTCCGACCCGACCCGGCCCGAATTTTTTTAAAAAATATTAGGCCCGGCCAGGCCCAAACCTGATTATTTAAAAAAAATAAGGCCCGCCGGACTCGGGCTGGGCCTAACTTTGCAAATCTCTAATAATGATATCATAGCATCGTTGAACTTATTGATTTTTTTTTAAAAAAATCTATTTAAAATATTAGATTGCGTCTAATCCTGAGCCCGCCAGGTTTTGCAGAAACCATATCTTGAATGCGCTGATGAAGTTATAGATTTAATTCTAAATTTTTTTTGGATGGAAACATAAATTTGTATTGATAGGTTACAAAATTTTATGGTCCTCTAGAAAAACCAAAATTTAAAATAAAATAATTTATATGAAGGAAATATAATTATTCTACCTAAATTTTTTTTAAAAATAATATAATAAATAGAAGAAAAAAAGATAGTTTGAGTTGACGAAATAAGTCATTTTAATTGAACAAAACACGAAACAAATTTCACATAAATAAATTTTTTTTTATATAATAAAAAAAACACATTATATATCATATTCGAGCAACGTCAAATTAACGACTTATTAGCAGAACCTACATTGAAAAATAATAATAAAATAAGTTTATTAACCGTTAAAAAACACTGAACAAAAGAGACATTTTTTCCCCCAATGTAATTAGATATTATTATATCAAATAAAGCTAATGATTAACCTTTCCGTTGTTTCAATCAATACATAACACTCTATAATAATTTATTAATATAATAAGTTTTTTTAAAAAAAATTCCACTAGTTTTAAAGGGTAAATGATTAAGTTTCATACAGTGTATATATTACTCACTATAAAGAATTTTATAGAATGCGGAGTAGATGTCGATGGGAATAAATTTTAGCATGAAAAGAATTGGTAAATATAAAATATATTATATTTTATAAATTTTTAGGATTTATAAATATAATTATTTATTTATTATTATATAAAAATCAAAAAAAAATTGAATTTAAAACTATTATAAAAATATCAGCTTCACCTTCCAAAATGTTATTTTATATTATTATTCCGCTTAATTTAATAGGGTTCGAATATCAGATTAAATTCTTCTTGATAAGAAGCCAAAAAATAAATTCAAAACCTGGAAATTATTTACAATTTAATAATTAATTTTAATTTGCATTTTAGGATTATTTTAGGATAATTTTAGTATTGCTAAAAAAAGTATTTTATAAATGCGTTAAATAGAAGGTAAGCGATTCGCCATTCTGTCAAATTTTTTACACAAATTTAGATTTAAAATATTAATTGATTTAAATTACAAAAAAATTAATTGATTTAAATTACAAAAAAATTAATTTCCAATTTATAACAAAAGCAATATTTTTTTCTAATTCCTATTGATTTCGTATCAAATGTATTTTTTATGTATTCGTTTTAAATGAATGAATGTCTAAAATATTCCGAACAAATTTTGAATATCATGTTTAACCTCTTTTCCATAGTTAACACAAATTTGTGGCGAAATTTACAAACGCTGTATTTATTCTCCGCAGCGAATTCGCACTGCGTTGAAACAGGGTGTTAGCTATAAAATCGAGACGAAGTTTATAAAATATGCTGCTTTTGTGTATTTTTACATAGTTCGCCACGAATTCGCGCTAACTGTAAATGCAGGGTATGAATAAAATTATAACATGGTTTCTCATTGGTGGGCGTCACCAATCTAATTTTTCATATTTTTCAACCTTTGAAAGACATCTTTACAAATATAAATCCGTATATTCGAACTCGTTTAAATTTTTCTTATTTTTAACCTCCATATTCACGGAGAGCGCATTAAAGATGAAAAGGAGGTTTCGCTGAATAGAAAACTTTTCCTAAAGTTGAGATCTATTGTAGCGATGTTAAACGGCTAATTCAATATTTTAGCCAAAATAATATTACACAAGAAGCCTAGAGATTTTACTCGTAGATCAAAAGTTAGGACATCCATTAACAAAATTTCTAAGCCTATGTAATATTATTTTGGCTAAAATTTTAATTTAAAAAGGCTATAGAGCCATTTAACAATACTAATCTATAGGGTCTATGGAATAACTATGGTTGGGCTTAATATACAGGCACGAGCCCTAGAAAATTTGCCAGGCATCGAGGCGCGTAATTTATCTATGCTGTTCCAAAGTTGGGCTATATTTAAGAATGACCGTTTTTGCTTAAAAACTAAATTTATCCGTTTTTTAGCCAACTAAGACATCGTGTTAAGCTTCGTTTAAGACTCGTAATTTTCATAATACTTAAACACGCTATGGTTTAGTGATAAATTAAACATCGCTTGAATGGTGTCATAAGGTATTTCGCGGTTATTATAAATGAGACCTTATCAGCATTGAATAGTCAAGTTTTTTTCCCCAGGGATATCCAGGCCAGATATAGAGCTTTAATTTGTAAATTAAAGATAAATTCAGATATCGTTTTTTTAAGGAATTCCTGTGAAATAAAGGAAATAAAGTAAAGATTATTGAATTGGGATTTTTAAAACAAAATATTCTTAAATAGGAATCAATGAAACGATTACTTTTTAAAGTATTATATTATACAAAGGCGTTTCAACATTGTTATAGTTACAATAATAATAATTTTAAAATATTAAGTGATAATTATCGTATTAAAATTAATATTTTTATTATTAACATTAAGACGCAAACTTCAATATAGAAACTTTCAAATGACTGAGAATTCGTATCTCGATTGTTTATAATCATTACTTATGGAAGCGTGATTTAAATTTAATGAAATAGTTGTGATCGATAAAAAAAAATATTTGATTTTTATACTATAATATGGTAGCTTAAGGAATATTTGGTTAAGTTTGTTTTTTTTCTCTATTCAAAAGTTTGAATGGTAAAACTAACATAAAATATAAAAAGGATATAAAAAAAATTTATCGATTTGATTCATGCGAATGTAAATATTAATGATAGTCAATATTCAGGAAGAGTATAAAGTATACTTAGGCATAATAATATGATAAAGAAATTCTCTTGTGTAATAATCGTGATAATCATATCGACGCAACGATACGATTAGTGGTATTAAAGTTACTTTTGAAAAGTAACTTGTAGTTATATTTTAAAATTGCATCAAAAGATAACTTACCGTTACATTTTTTT